GATGTGAGATGACATACATACGAGCAGTCCGGCTGACTTGACTCAACTCAGGCGAACAGACGATAGATACACGGCATCCATCCATCCATTTCATGTGCATGCTCTGACTGGTTGGTCGGTCGGTCGGTCGGTCGGTCTTGATGCAAAAATAACGAACGCGACGCCCCTCCCGCCCCGCCACACACATGCCATGCAGACTCCAGGCAGGCCATCCACCAGGCTAGTAGATAGAGAGGATGGGATGGGTGCAATGCAATGGGAGGGGGTGGGAGAGACACACGAGAGATTGAGCGAGTGAGCGCATGGCAAGGAAGGGATGGAGGCGGTCTGACAGAAGAGGTCCTGGACTGGGGTGTATGTCTTCGGGTGCTCTCTCTCTCTCTGTCTCCCTGTCTCTCTCTGTCTCTGCCCGCCCTCCCGCCTGCTCTCGCGCTGCACTGCACTGCCCACCCATCCCATGCCATCCCATGCCATCCATCCATCCACACTCATATCCACACGCGCCATCCATCCATTTCGCCACAGTCCCTTCCCTTCCCTTCCCTCCGGCTCGATCCATCCATCCAACCATCCCTTCCTCTCCTCACTCACTCACTCACTCATGCGATCGATGTGCCTCTGTCTGTGCGTATGGTATGTACCTGTGGAATCAATGATCGGTGGTTGGTCGTTCGTTCACCCATTGGCTCAATCAATCAATCACTCACTGCTCATTCCTCCTCTTCCTCTTCCTCCTCCTCCTCATCATCCTTCTCCTCCCCCTCCCCGCCCCCTTTGAGGCACGCCGGCGTCTCGTCCTTGCGGGTGGCGGTGATGTCGAGCTTGGGCTTGTTGCCCACAGACAGGACGATGTCGTCAAACACCTCCGTGTCCATGCGCACCACGTCGGCAACCGTCGCCAGGGCGCCGAAGTCGTCACACGCCTTCTCCACCTCCCACAGGTCCTCACGCAGCGGCTTCCACGCCTCGGGGTGCGGCACCGTCACCACTATGCCCTTCTGCTGCGGCTGCTGCTGTTTCTGTTGCTGCTGCTGCTGCTGCTGTTTCTTGGCTGCATGCTCGTCTGCTGCTGTGTCTCGCTGCGTGTTGGTGCCGCCGGGGTCCTTCTTGTCAGGCGGCCGATGCTGCTGACAGCACTGCCCCGTGTGGCAGCTGTGGTGCGCCGCTGGTGCTGCCGCCGCCGCCGCCACGCAGGCCTTGGTGCCCAGCTTGCCTTTGTCGAACGGTCCTTCTTTCTGCTCTCCGCCTCCCCCGCCATGGTCACGCTGCCCCCCCGCACCGCCAGGCGGCTTCTGCCCGTGTTCGCGGGCCACCCCGGCTGCTGCAAGAGGCGGCCCACCACCGTTGGTGCTGCCCGCCCCCTCCTGATGGGCATTGGGAGTGCTGGGCGCCGGCAGGTTGGGCGGTATGGGTACTGTGCCCTCGAACTCCCACCGGCCGGCGTCGACCACGGCCATGGGTGTGGCTGCCTGGTGCGGCTGCTTCGCTGCCTGGTGGGGATGGTCGACCAGTTGGGTGGCGCCGTGTAGGGCAGCGACCTGCATCAAACTCAGTGGGGGACCCCCTCGTTTGCCGGGGTCTCGCAGGTTCCAATCCACTCCCACTTCGTCGAACCCACTCATGAGGGGGTCGCCGCCAGGGATGCGCTTGAACGTTGCCTGCATACAGGCATAGGCACAGACACAACACAACACAACACAACACAACGAGGCAAAGGCGGACGTGGATTCTTGATTGCGTCGATTGGCATCTCAGAATGGCATGTCACGCTCACCATGTGTCCGGGGGGTATGGCCACGAAGTCTCCCTGGGTCAGGTGGCTCGGTGCGTTGTGGTCGCAGCAGCTGACCGGCGTATTGGTGTCGTTGGTGGAACCCGTCGAGCCCTCCTCGCTCGACGTCGACCCACACTGGTCACCCTTGACCGTCGTGCACTTGCGACTGGCGTCCTGCTTCTCCTTCTCCTTGGTCAGGGCGGGCTGCTTGCCGCCCCCGCCCCCCTCGGCGCCTCCCGCCGGCTGGTGGGGCTTGTCTTTGCCCCCCTTGCCCTTCTTCGGATTCTTGCTGGTGGGCTGGCCGGGCTGTCCAACGGTGAATCTGGGGATGTCTCCGTGTTTGCCCACGGGCATGGGATCCATCTGTGACATCAATGGGCCCGGTCGCGCAGCCACCGCGGCTGGCTGCGCGAAGGGGCCTGGTATCGGTGGGGCGTGAGTCAAGCTCATGGCCTGAAGGGATCATCATGCAGCAAGAAAGTCGGCTTCAGGAGTCGAGTGTCTTCGCACCCTTTCGTGTGGATGGGGGAGCGACGGTGCCCTCTTCTGTCTCCGCAGTCGACGGTTTTCACGCTTCAAAGTACACGAAAGTGCCCTCTACAGGCCTCTGTGGCTCCGAAGGGGCCCTGCACGGCTCTGCTCCTGCCAGAAACCATAATATGCATGAGAAACAGTGAAGAAGAGGTCGCCGGACAGTCTGGAGATGGGAAAGACGCGTACCTGTTTAAAGAAGCCGCGCTTCAGGGCCACGAAAAAACTGTCGATCGGTGGAAGAAAGCTCGCATGACCCGGCGAAGCCTCTCCCCCCCCGCTGTTGAGCAACTCAGGAGGACTGATGACGTGAGATGATCACGATATGAGATCTGCGGATGGCGCTCCGAATCTGGCTGGTTTTGTGCGTCCACCTGTGGCTCTTTCCCCTCGCCATCGTCCGTGGACAGCAGTCATCAGACGCGGCGTCCCCCTCTGTCAGGGCGGCTTTCCCCTTCCCCTTCGCGGGACTCGCCCGCACTCTCCAAGAGGACGGTGAAGACGATGAGGACGGCTCGGCGTCGGCAGGTGGGCAGAAACTGGCCGAGGGATCGGGCTACAAGTTCCTCAACGGCCGCGATGACTGTCCCGACTGTGAGGAGGACCGTGGTGCTTTGGTGGCGATAGCCCAGGCGCTGGGAATCCCCAGGCCGCAGGAGGACAAGTCGATATGCGAGCAGGCAGATCTGGGGTGGGCCTTCTGCATTAGGTGGGATGAAGACGGCGACGACAACCCAAAGGAGGGGCTCATGCTGACTTTCCGGAGGGGCTACGGAACTATCGTCAAGTAAGCAGTCAGGGGGCCAACCGCACTATTGCCCACGACACGATGCGTGGTTGTGCTGTTTATTTGTTTGTCACACCAGGGGCTTTGATGACAAGCCGGCGACGTGTGGGGTCGACGAGGCGCAGATCCCACCCGAGCTCTTCTCTCTCAAGACCATCATGGCGCTCTTCATCGAGAACTGCGACTTCGTCGGCGAGATTCCTCCAGAGATCGGCAACCTCACACACATGCGGTGGCTCTACCTCTCTCTACTCGGCAAGCTCAAAGGCGAGATGCCGCCCGCCATCACCAAGCTGACCGAACTCAGAGGGCTGATCCTCCGGAACCTGCGAATCCGGTGGCGGCTCCCTGACGACTTCGGCACCAAGCTGCCGGAGCTGCGCAGGCTGGAGGCTTTCCAGTGCCCCTACCTCGAAGGGGGGCTGCCCGAGTCTATCGGCTTGCTCTCCAAGCTCAATCTGCTGGTCCTGGCGCACCTGACATCGTTTGATGGGCCGCTTCCCCGCTCCTTTGGCAACATGACCTCCCTGGAGCGCGTGTCGATATCTTGGACGCCCATCACCGGCACCCTTGACCCATCTATAGGGTCCCTGCAGAAGCTGGCGACCCTGCGGCTCAAGTACACCATGATTTCTGGCCCGCTCCCCCTGCTTGAGAGCCAGCTGCCGAAGCTGAGAACTCTCGACCTGGAGGGCAACCAGCTGTCCGGCAATCTGCCGCTGCTCAGCCAGTCCCCCGACCTCAAGACCGTGAAGCTCCAGGGCAACCGCAATCTCACAGGGCGCATTCCCCCCGAGTGGAAGAACCTGACCAGCCTCGGCATCATCGAGCTGCAAGACACATCGCTTGAAGGCAGCATCCCCGAAGCCCTCTGTGAGATCAAGTCCTTGTACGATCTCAACATCGCCCGCGCCGGGCTAAAGGGCAGCATTCCGGAGTGCCTGGGAGACTTGGCGAACCTGACAACCCTGGACCTAAGCGGCAACGAACTCACTGGGCGGATCCCCGCGACCCTGGGGAAGCTGCAGTCACTGTGGTCTCTGAAGCTGGCCAACAATCAGCTCAAAGACAGCATACCTTCGTCACTTGGCAACCTGGTGCGCAGATAGTGACACAATGAATGGATGCCTTTGCATATGGCTGCTCGTTTGTTCAGACTGCGTTGGAGGAGCTCGACCTGAGAGGAAATCACCTGGACGGAGCCGTCCCGCCCCTCACCAACCTCACAAATCTCAGGTGCGTCTGTCTGCACGCGAGCCAGCCAGCACCATGATGCGCCACGCCCATCTATCCCCTCCCTCCCTCCCCCGATGAGTGCAGGTACCTGGACGTTTCCGCAAACAAGCTGGAAGAGTTCGACGGCGAGCTCCCCGCCGGCGAGTTGAGGGAGGTGTCAGCCAGCCACAACAGCCTCAAGGAGTTCCCCCGGTCGTGGCGGTCCCTGGGATCTGTCCAGCACCTGAAGCTCGACCACAACCGGATCAAGGAGTGGGTCACCTGGGGCAGACACCCTACCGACTGGTTCGTCAACGGCGAGTTCGTCGTCACCCAATTGGCCAACCTGCGCGTCATGCTCGAGTCGATGGACCAGGGCCCCAGTTGGGACGAGCTCGTCTCTGTCGACATCAGTGGCAACCCTGCACTAAAAGCGGACGTCAACGCCTTCTTGCTGCCCTTCTCCTACGCGCAGAACTTGCGGATCTTGCAGGCCAGCAACTGTGGGCTGACGGGGACTCTGGTGGAGGGCGGGCTCTGGGCGATCGACAAGGATGAAGGTGCGGGGGAGGGAAGGGAGGGGAGGGGAGGGGAAAGGATGGCGCAGGCAGAGATGGATCAATGGACCCACTCTCTCTGTGTGTCTGTCTCTGTCTCTGCTGTCAGACGGAGTGCCCAAGCATCGTTTGGGCTTTCAGCAGCTGAGCCACCTGGACCTCTCCTCGAACAAAATCCGCGCCGTCGAGCTCCCCCACGTGGTCTCACTCAACGCCCTTACCACCGTCTCGCTGCGAGGCAACGCCCTTGTCCACCTCGCCCCCCCTCCCCGCCCATCCGCGCCGCCCGGCACACCCTCTTTCGGCATCCCCATCCCATTCGCCGGCGCGGCCCTGCAGGACTACTCGGACAACCCCAATCTCAGAGTCGGCGGGTCAGTGATGGCCTGGTGGATGGATGGATTGCAATGTGTATCTAGAAATGTCTGGATTGTGTGCTCTGCAGGATTCGGCGTCCCCGGGAAAAGTGTTCCAAGGTGATGAGCGAGTCGGCAACCTTCTCGCTTCGCCTCATGGAAACCAGGCAGCTGTCCAGGCGGATCTTCGGAAGGCGCGAGCTGCAGTCCCCCCTCAATAACACCACCATCGCGGCCCACGCCCTCACGCCACTCAGCGCCAACCCCGACGGCTACATGCCCCTTGACACGGCAGTCGAGTGCACGCGCCTCTGCTCCTCGCCCCTCCGCACCATCCGCATTGACCCCTTTGTGTCGCCCGAGGCTTTGTGTCGGTGTCGTGGAGGTTACCAGGGCACGGGGAACCAGTGCGACGAGTGCCCCGTCGACACCTTCAGCGACCCAGACAACACCTTCAGCGACCCACCGCGGGTCGGTGCCTGCACGGCCTGTCCCGAAAACTCGTCCACTGAGGGCAGCGTACGGCCATATGACGGCCGGGATGCTTGCAAGTGCCGCCCTGGGTACGAGCCGGTCGGCAGCAAATGCACCCCGTGCAAGCCAGGTGGGAGTCAGAGAGAGAGAGGGAGATTGGGGGGGAGGGAGTCTCTTTACTGTGGATGCATCTGGGAGTCTGTGTCGTGTTGTGTTGTGTTTTGTGGCAGGTTACGCCAAGTGGAAGGCTGGAAACACCCCGTGTGTGTCGTGTGCCGAGTGGGAGGCCGATAACGAATCCAACCGCCAGTGCTGTCCCAGCAGGTACAGGCTGTACCACGACGTCGCGTCCGCTTCCTGCCGCGCCTGCCCGCGTGGCGCCAACTGCACCTCGCCCAACGTCACGGACGCCTTCACCCTCCCAGGCTATTGGCCACTCACACCGAGATCGGCCCTTCTCGACCTCGACACCCCCCTGTCTGTCATCCGCTGTCCCTTCCCTCGGTCGTGCATCGCACCAGACGTGTGTGCCGAGGGCTATGGCGGGTTTGCGTGTGCGTCGTGCTCGAAGGGGTGGTACCGAGATGTGATGCGTGGGCAGCTGGGTGGCCCTGACGATGGGTGCCTGGAGTGCGAGAGGGCGTGGGATGGCGTGGGGGCGGCGCTGGTGGTGGTCATTGTGGGAGTGGTCGTGTGGCTGCTCGTGACTGTTGGGAAGCGGTGAGTGAGTTGGCAAGGAAGACAGAGGAAAACAGGGAGGTTGCTGGTCATGGGATGATCTATGCATGCCCGCGTGTGTGTCGTGTGTCCTTTCAGAGCCAGCCGTTGGTACGATCAGCGTGGGAGCCATGCCGTGGCCTTCATCGCAACGCTCCGCATCATCGCCAACCACTCCTTTGTGGTACGCCACACAGCCCACACCCCACCCAAGCACTGCTCTCACACAGATTCCTCATTCCTGTCCGCTGTCCGCTGTCTGCAGATGGGATTGGTGACCTGGGCAGTGTTGGAGAGGGACGGCCGAGCTGGCCCCGACAGCATCGTGCCGTTCTGGTCCAAGGAAGCTCTTCGGGGGCTGATGGGGTGGACAGGTGGCCCACCCCTCGACGCCCTGCGGATCCACATCGAGTGCCTCTTCCCCGTCGCCAACTCTCCGCTGGCCTACGCCATTCTCTGGGTGTTCCTGCCTCCCATCCTGGCCCTCCTCTACTCGACCATCATCACAGCGCCCCAACTCAAGAGCTGCTTGCGACCTGCGCAGAGAGGGAGAGAAGACGAGAACTCCGTCACCACCAAGAAGGACGATGGCGATGGTGATGGTGAAGGTGATGGTGAGGTGTCCGCGAAAGAGATGAAAGCGCCCGGAGAGGAGAGCAAGACGACGGCCACACCCACCTTCAGCCCCGCGCAGGTCACACTCGCGACGGCAGCAGAAACTGCGGAAACGCCCAAAAGCCGATCGAGCGGCGAAAGATGGGACCCACTGAAGGAGTGGGTGGCCCGGTGCAAGCCCGTGTGGGTGGCCGTCATGTGGGTGCTCTTCCCCTCGGTGCTCATGAACCTCACCCCCCTCCTCCGCTGCATCGCCTTCCAGCCGACAGACCCCAACGCGCCCTGGCCGTCGCCGCGTCTCATGGTCGCGCCAGACATCGCATGCGGGTCGCTCGAGCACCTGCCGTGGCTGCTTGCCGGCCTCCTGGGGATCGGCATATGGGCGGTGGGGTGGCTGACGTGGGGGTGCTGGACGCTGCACCAGGCCAGCGTGGCGAGGGAAATGCACCGGCCGGAGCTGAGGAAGGCCTGGGGGCTCATGTATCTGGGCTATCGGGCGAGGTACTGGGGGTGGGAGTGCGCCATCAAGGCGCGAAATCTGCTCGTCATCGCCGTCACGCTCATCCCTGCCGGTGCGTTTGTTTGTATGCACACATCGAGCGGCGAGAAGCCGCAACGCAACAAAGACCGACCGGTCCCTTTGTGTCTCTCTCTCTCTGTTTCCCTCCTCAGGTCTGTTCCACGACTCGACGGTGCTGTGGGTGTGGGCGGCAGTGGCCATCCTGAACCTCTCCTACCACTGGGCGCGCCGTCCTCTGGAGACCCCGTTCCTCCCCCAAGAGAAGACCCTCCAACGGCTGCAGGGCAGCGCCATCGCCCTCTGGGTCATCGCCCTCTGCCCCGCCCTCATGCTCACCAACCCCTCATCGTCCGCCGGGGCCGTCGGGTTCGCCGTCGGCGTGGCTGTGGTGAACCTGCTCTTCGTCACGGGCCTGCTCATGTTCGCCGCCTTCCAGCTGCTGATGCTCTTCGCCTCTTACAAGGCCGGCGGCAGCGGCTCCAAGGTCGGCCGATGGGCGTGGCGGTTCTCCTCCACACCGAGGCAATCGACGCCTCAGCTGGAGACCGGCGTCACGCTCGATCCAGAGAGTCTGGACCTGCTTGTGATGGACCTTCGTGAATGTGACGAAGGGGCCAAGGCCGAGACCCAGCCGCAGGCGGAGCACGACGCCACTCCACCCAACGAGACGACAATCGCGGCAGCCAGGGGCAGGAGCATCTCCAGGCTTTTCCGTCGGCGCAAGGGCGGCTCGCGGTCATCAGTCCGCGACAGGAGGAAGGTCAGCGCCCAGACCCAGCAGCTGATGCGGCTTGCCGGCCGGCTCATCAGCGAGCTGGGCGAGAGCAATCCCTCCGGCCGCATACCCGCCGGACTCCTCTCCACCCTCTGGCAACGCATTTTCGACGACAACAAGGGGGAGGAGGACAGCGGGCGATCGCGCGAAGCCCTGCGGCACCAGAGCACTGGCGGCGACTCGGTCAGCGCTTCACCGAGCCGGCGCAACAGGTTCGGGATGGTCCGCATGCCGTCTGGGAAGGAGCCTTCGGACACCCCAATGGCCGAGGCCTCCACATCGCCCGACCGACGAGAGGTGGCGAGGCGGCAGGGGACGTCGTCGACGCCGCTGCTGCCCAACATGTCCCCTTCATCAACAGTCTACAGGCAGTTTGTGCGCGACATCTCCACCACCACCACCACAGGGCAGCCTGCCAACAAGTCGGCTCCGTCGACCTTGTTCCGGGAGGAGGGTGAGGTTCCGGCAGACGATCGCCGTCTGAGCCAGTCGACGCCGATCACGCCCACCTCTGTCGCTGGCAGCCGGTGCTCGATGTCGCCCGTCAATCTGACGGCTGATGGGGGCCTGAGGAAGTCGCCCACGCCGCCACTGCAGCCAACGGGCCAGCAGGATGTGGCGGGCGATCTGGCGGGGGCGGCCACATTGCCGCCACGTGCGTGCAAGGAGTTCAGACAGCTGACGGTATGGTGAGCCGCCAAGCATTCCCTCTCCCCTCTCTCTTGCGCATTCATTCACACCCCTCTGTGGTTGTGTGTTGTGCCCGTGTGTGTTTTGCAGCTGGATTTCCGTTCTGTGGCCCACCAATACCTCATGTCGACTCTCGAGGCCCAGAAACAGCAAACCGCCGTCATGATCGACACCCAGAAAGCCGTCCAAGCCATGGCACCCGACGCCCCTATTATTATTACCACAGAGAAGGCTGACGCCGACGCCGGCTGCCGCACATCGGTCAGCGTCCAGACACAGCAGCCAGGCCGCTCTGGGGGCCTTGCAGAGGAGCAACCGCCGCAACCACCACCAGCACCACCACCGGCAGCAGAACCGTCATCGACATCGTCATCGACATCCACCGCCCGCCCCTCGCCGCCCAGTCGGCTGTCGTCGGTGCCGTCCATCGACTCAGCGTCAGCGTCACCAGAGAGCCCCATCTCACGGGAAGATGGCCCATCCCGAAGGAGCTCCCTGTCCACCGTGGCAGTGCTCGAGAGCTCCGCCGGCCCGACATCTGCACAAGGGGTGGCACCCCCGGCATCGCCCGCGCGCAGCAACAAGGGCATTCGTGTGCGCAAGAGCCGCAGTGGCCACTTCCGAGTAAGGAAGCGCGACAAGCCTGCCAGAATGACGTCGCCAAGGCAGGCGCAGGTCCAGGCTTCCAGAGGGTGGGAGGACGGCGTGGGCGGCATCCTGCGAGGCGGCGAGGAGTGGAGCATCTACACCGGGGCGGACAGCTCCGAGGGCGGCGAGTCCCCACAAGCGGCAGGGGCCGCCCCGTTGAGCCCATCGAGCGAGTCGGCGTCATCTCTCGCCTCAACAGGGTCCATGCCCGCGTCTTTGCGTCGTCGGCCGTCCTCCTGCGCGTCAGTCGTCGTCCACGAGACCATCTTCGAGGATCGCGAAGAAGAGGAGAAGGCCGAGAAGGAGGAAGAGCTCGAACGGCGGCAGTCCGGCACGCAGTCGACCCTCGGCCACGGGATGAGCAACGAGACAGTGGTGGCTGAGTCCACTCCTGTGGTCGCGCAGCTGCTGGAGGCGCCATCGTGCTCTCCCACTGACAGCATGAGCGGCATGAGCGAGCGGGACTTCCCAAGAGGCGGCCGTCGGCAGCCGGTCGCCGAGCCTGTGGCTGCGCCGTCCCAGAGCGATGGAGAAGAGGATCGACCGACCACTCCCCCGGTCTCGCTTGCCAGCAGCGGCACGCGGCGCAAGAGCAGACGAAGGTCGCCTGATGAAGACCTGTCGCCATCGTGTGGGCACGATGTGCCGGCGCAGCCGCCCCGCCCCCCAACCCGCGGCAGCAGCGCGGCGTCCATGTCGCGGTCATCCACGCCACCCGAGGGCCCTGGACAGGGCCCTGGCGACTCGTACACGCCTGCACACATGTGGGGCGGCGGCGGGGGTGGGTACCCCTTCCCCCCTCCAATGCCTTATGGGTACCAGGCTGGCGGCTTCTCGCCCTACGCATACCCCCCTGGTCCTTACCACCAGCAGACGCACCCAGGCATGCCGCCCTACTGGGCGCCGCAGTACCCCCCATCGGGATATGGGCCGCCAGCCGGGTCTCAACGCAAGAAGAAGGGCAGCCGACGGAAGAGCGACGCGCGCGAAGGCGGCGAGGAGCGGGGCGGTCGACAGCAGCAGCAGCAGCAGCCTCAGCCTCCAAGCATGGGCTATCCTCCCTCTCACCACCCATACATGTACCCCCCACCCTCATATGGGTATGGATGGCCGCCTCCCTACCCCTCTTACTTTGATGGACCGGGCATGCCGACATTCGGCAGTGACGATGCTGCGGACGAGCCCCCCCCCGTCAAGAGGAGAGCGACCCCTCCTGCCAGCAAGAAGGCCGGCCGCTGCATATCATCGGTAGACGAAACGAGTGCGGGCGGAGGAGGAGGAGGGTGGGAGAGAAGGACGGCTGGGCCCCCGGCCATTAGGACAGACGAGGTGACCGACCCCGAGCCACCATCTCGGCAATCGAGCGTCAGCGTCAGTGTGACTTCACCAGCTGTACCCATGGCCACGTCTGACCCAACTCTCCCGTCGTCAGCGAGCCAGCATCAGCATCAGCAGCAGCCGCCGCCAACGGCACTCCATCGATCAGCCACGGCCGATGGCACCGGCAGCGGCAGCAGCAAGGCCAACAGAGGAGTGGGAGTGGAGAGGAGCAAGCATGAGAGGGGGAGTGCCCCCATGCCATCGCCCCACCCGCCGCCTCCATCTCCACATTACCCGTACCCGCCGTATCCTCCCTACTACGGGATGTACCAGCCCCCGCCCCCGCCGCCTCACATGATGTATGGGGCCGCTGCTGCTGCTGCTGGTGGTGCTGGTGCTGATGGCTATGGTGGCGACGAGTATGAGAGCGACGGGCCAGAGGAGGATGCTGACAGCGATGTGGGCAGTGGGCAGGAGTGAGGGAGGGATCGATCTAGTCGATGGATGATGATAGACTTATTGGTCATGGTGTGCTAAGTATTTATGGGGGGTGCGTGGGCTGGTAGTGTGTAAGGGGGGTTGTTAAGGGGGAAGGGGGGGGAGGGGGAAGTATCTCTGTTTTTTTCGTTTCTGTCTTGTTTTGTGAAGAAAGGACAACCAATGGTATGGTGTGGTGTGCGTGCGGCTTTGGTGGTTCTTTTATCAGTCTCTGTCTGCGTGTGCTGTGCGTGCATGAGTGTGTCAGTGTGGAGGTGTGCCCGTGTGTGTGTGCCTGCGGTTGTCCCTCTTTGTAAGTAAGTAGAGCTTGCGATGCGATGCATGTGTGTGTGTGTGTCAATAAGGGTATCCCCTCTCTGCCTCCCTCCATCCCTCTCTCCCTCCCTGTTCCTATATGTGTGTGTGTGTGGCGCCCGGTTAGGCGTGCGGGCTCTCCCACTTGATCAGTCAGTGGTTTGGCAATCCAGACACACACGCATGGCATGCAGGCGTAGAGGTAGTTGGGATGTTTGTTTTTCATCTCATCTTCTGTGCAAGGACGGTGTAGTGTGCATCCCTGTCAAGGGCTGCCTGTCCGTCTGTCTGCCTGTCCGTGTGGCGCGAGTAGCAATTCCTTTCTCCATCCATCCATCCGTTCATGTGTGTGTGTGTCTTGCTGGTTGGTTCTTGTGGCCCTTTATTGGTCATTCAACGACGGGCTGGCAGTCCGTGTGTGTGGGTGTGGGTGTGTATGTGTTTCCCATCCAGCAGGTGTGTGGGAGCGTGCGGTGACCGACCGACTCGTATGGCTGTGTGTGTGATGTGAAAGGTGTCATCACTGGATAGATAGATGGAGGATTTATCAAATGTCTGTCTGTCTAATCCACTCACTCAACTGTCATGGCTGAACATTAGAAAAATACGACATATGCACACACACACACACACACACCACATGACGTAGTGTCCCCACTAGTCGATGGGTAGTCCCATTCGTCGACACATAGTAACATCGGTCGGTATGAAGCATTCAGGTACCTGCGTGCCTTTGTCGGCCACACCACCCACCCGCTACCACTGGCGCCAACCAATACACACACACACACACATGGTTAGATAAACATACATTCACACGCAAGGTCTCTCTCTAAATGCAAGCATACACACGAGAGAGAGGGCACATGACAGGATCTTTGTATGTATGTATGTATGTTTCCTCCTACGCAAAATTCTGGGTAAGTATCGTCAGTATAGGCGTGGATGCCCCCTAGGCCCGCCCCTCTGGCTGACCCAAAATGCTTGCTGGCGTCAAGCTGACTTCCAACCAACCCCCATAGATAGATAACACATACACACACACACACACACACCCGTACAAGTGAACACATACGATCTGACTTCCCTTCATTCGAAGGGCGCACACCCACGATCGAATGATACTGATACCTACAGGTACACACAACACATGCATGTCGTTTGCATCCATCTTACTTACAAAAAACACTCAAATCAAAATCCCTCAGAGAAGAAAGAGATAGAGAAGGCGCGCATGGCTCGTTCCCATCCGCGCCCCCTCATCCATGCATGAGATCTCATTCCCCGTGGCTCATCCATCCATCCATCCGTCCATTCATCAGGGCCAGAGCCATATCAGCCCCACGGCAGCGGTGAAAGGCAGCACCAAAGGACACAATGTCCTCCCCACCGCACCGCTGGGCACGTCCTCTCGTGTTGTGCGCATGGGGGGGGCGGTTGCCCTGGACACGGCGGTCTGGCGGTCTGGGTCGCAGTGGGTGACGAATACGCGTCTCCTTCTAGGCAGGAAGCGCCACAGGGAAGACGAGTCGCAGCTCTTGCGAACCGACCCCTCACTCCTGCAGCCAGAAACAAACACAACAAACACAACACACACAGCAACACACATAGGGAGGGGCATTTGTGAGGGTGTCTGTGGTGGCGGTGGCCTCACCTGGTGCTGTCCCGCCAGGTCATGAATGCGGCGATGGTCTCTTCTTGAGGCAGCCAATCGTCACCCCCATTGGTCACAAACAGGGTGGTCCGGCCCACCTTCTCAACCGCCGGGTCGACGAGGAAAGGCCCGAGAGCGAAGCCCGTCCATTTGTTGGTAAGGAAGACGTCCCGCAGCGCCTTGATCACATACTGCCCCGCCCCGCCACCATACGGACTCTTGCCCTCAACAAACGACCCACCCCGCAGGCCATCGCTCGCATCGCCGACGAAGATTATCGGCACGGCCAACTGAGTGACCTCGTCCAGGCCGTCATAGCGCCGAAAGTGGGCTCGCCAGCTGTCGAGAGAGAGGCTGGACGGCTTGCCCTCTTGGAAGAGCTTGTATGAGTAGACGTGATTGGCGGCGTAGTCGCGGATTTGGCGGTGGAAGCCCAGGAAGTCGGATGAGGCCTTGACGCCCGTGAATTGGGAGCCGTGGCCCCTCCCGAGTATGTAGACGGCTCTCGAGGTGAAAAAGCCGTCAGTCTTGGTGTTGACCATCGCCATCGTCTTAAGGACGCTCATATGTCGCTTGTCCCACTGCTGCTTGTCGGACTGCAGACCCTTGAGTGGCTCGTTTTCACCTGAGGATCGATCAAGCCAAGACGTGACGTGGTCACTTACACAAACCTCTCCCTCCCCCTCCCGGTGTCTTTGTGTACCAAACATGACCCCGAGGATGCGGTCGTCAAGACCAATCTGAGCGAGCGCTCTGTAGGCGTTGGCAAATGCGTCAGAGAGGGCCTCTTGGTTGGCGGGGCGGTGAAGATGCCACCCTTTTTGTGAAAGGACGATTCCGAAATCTACGAAACCGTGGTCGACCAGTCCCTGCAGGAACCTCTGAAGGACGCTCACACGCTGCAGCTGGTCCATGCCGGCCGCGGGTATGCGCAGCGTGTTGACACCGAGTGCCATCAGCTCCTGAACGAATCGCGTGTAGGGGACGCCGAACGACATCGTCTCGAACGCAGGCGCGTCTTGACCGGGGTGCCCTGTCTTGAACTCGACGCCAATGATGGAAGCCGGGTGGGCGATAAGCGTCTTGATGAAGGTGTCATTGGCGGGAGGCGACTGCACCACTTCGGCAAGCTACAGGATAAAAGCCAGATGGAGGTGAGGTGAGTCCGCCTGCCTCTGTGAGCTTGTGTTGCCTCCCGCTGACTCACATTGCACTCGCCAGAGTCGTCCCAGCAGTCGGGCGGTGGGGTGCTCAGGTCGCCCTCCGGAGCTGGTGTGCTGGCGTCTTCCGAAGACACAGGAGGAGCAGGGCTACCTGCAAACATCACAGCAAAGAGCCCCTGTGTGCACCCCTTCTTGTTTGTGGGTCCGTGCGCGCGTGTGTGTGCGTATGTGTGTTTCTACCTGCATCCAAGAGGCTCTCATCAAGCAGCACCTCTGCGGCCTTTTGCGCAGCGACGCCCGGGCCCGGGAAGGGAAAGGAGAGGAGCCCGAAGAACAGGAGAACACGGAAACCCATTCCGCGCAATCCAACGGCCGGGTGTTTACAAAATGAGCTCGCAAAGGGCCACGGCCAGGATTCTCGTTGCGAAAGCGTGAGCAAAGCTGCCCACCATACAGTGTCTCCAGCCCCATTTGCAACTACTCGCAAGACAATTTTACAAGTCGTCACGAGGGAAACGGCGCACACACGACCTATCGACTCACATGCACCTGAGTACCTACAAGCATATCCATATGCCTCACCTAAATAAGCCCTGCAGGCGAGATGCACAACAAGAGAGCATCATCCGCAGGGTTCCGTGTGTCAAACATGATTCACCATCAAGCCCTGATGGCGGTCGATCTCTTCTCGGGGCGCCCAACACGGAAGCCTTCTTGCCTGAGGTGCTCGGCACCAGGCCTGCATGGACACATCGAGACAAGGGCGTCCATACATCCCAAACGCATCTAGGTACCTTCAACTCCTCGTGATGACGGCCGCCATCCAGCCGCAGCAGCCGCTGCGGGGGGATGGTCAGGCACAAGCCCAGAAAGGGCGCTGCTGCGCGCAGGCTTCCTTACGAGCCCTGGAGAGAGTCCGCCACACGAGCGAAGGATTGTGCCATGTGTTGCCCTTTTTATTCTCTTTGCTGACCTTGGATCGCATCATCGCTTTTGCTTTCTCTTCTTGATATGAGACCTGCAGGCATGTCACATGTGAGGTGAGACAGGCACACAGGCAGACCGGCATACGTGTTGTCTCGGCATGTGTGCAGCATTTATTGCCCACCGGCTATAGCCTGGCTGCCTTTCAGCGGCGTCTGCTCGTGCGGGCCGCGAGACCACACAGACCCGTAATACAACTTCTCTGTCAATACAAACACATGTAATGTAGGTCACTGTAGGAGTGATTGGGAAGCGTGTGTCGCCTCTCCTTCTCAGCTGAGTACCCATCCCCGCAGCGAAGAGGGCCAGGGTCATCCACGTCCTTCATCCATTCGCGAATGCATACAGGAATCGACTGCCTGCATCCCCGCTTCATCTCTCTCCCTCTCTCCCTCTCTCCCTCTCTCCCTCTCCCCCCCCCCCCAATCCTCACCCTGTGATGGTTTTCACTGCCATGGTGAGGTAGATGAGCCATGTCGAGTCACTCACGTCCCCGCCCATCCACTCAGCTAACAAAGCTGTTTACACGATGACACAGACCGAAGGTGAGGAAGGGACGGACGCTGTGTATCCCGTGAACATTGAGGGGTGCGATTGTGAGTGCTTTCATTGAAGACGTCTTTGTCCCTTGCACTCTGTCACTAACCTGCATCGACGGCCCTCTCTGGCGTATCGTCGCTGATTGCAGATGTGTGCATGTAGACCTAAGTGAGCAACAGATAGACAGAGATGCGTGTCACTCACTGCACACACTCACTGTGTGTCAGTCCTCCGTGCACGTCGTGGACAAACCTTGAAACCCACCCCGACGAGGCTGAGGAGTGCGACAATCATGAAGGATGTCGTCTGATGCACCACCGTCACAGCAATACCAGCCAGAGAAATAAACGAGCCTGCATGCCACACATGGGTGCTTAGTTAGTCAGCATTGCAAATGGTGAATGGCAGGATAGAACAGCGCCCGTCAGCTGCCTACATATGCCCTCCACAAGCGTGGGAATGAAGTCGTCGCTCTTCTTCATGGCCCATCCCAGCCCCTCCGCACAGAGGATGAAATGCAGCAGGGAGGATAAGATGCACACCACGCCCACATTGTTGCAGCCACAGCTCACACAGCCTCGCAGCTCCATAGCAAAGTCTTTGTTCGGCTTTAGGTTCTCTCCCTTCCCCTCCGTCTTTCTCCGGCCCCCACCAGGCCCCCACGTCTCCACCCTTACTCGTGTGGTGTCTTGACTCGTGAGCATCTCCGTGTGCCGCAACCATGTCGTCCGTCAAGGTGGCTGTGCGCGTGCGTCCGTTCAATGACCGCGAGAAGAACATGGGCGCCCAGCTGTGCATCGACATGCAGGGCAAGAACACCGTCATCAGAAACCTCGAGGAAGAGGGCGGAAGGGGCGGCGAGCGCAAGTTCGCCTTCGACTACTCCTACTGGTCCCATGACGGCTTCGAGACCGACGAGAACGGGTCACTTGATGGCGCCATCTATGAGAGAATGGATGGCAGGCGATGATAATGATGGCGGGCTGTGCTGACTTCAGGTACTCCTTCCCTGTGAACCCCAAGTATGCCGATCAGCATAAAGTCTACAGCGAGATTGGCGTGGAGGTGCTCAGTAAGCAGGAGAGGGAGGGAGACACATGCCATGAGGGAGGGACACAGGAAGCGAGTGGAGGGATGGAGGGATGTGGTCTTTCTCGGCTGTGTCTCCTCCAGACAATGCCTTCGAGGGATACAACGCATGTTTGTTCGCTTAGTAAGCCCTCTAACACTCCCTTGATGGGATGAATGGATGTGTCCGACGGACGGTTGTCCTCACACGCAGCGGCCAGACGGGCTCCGGCAAGAGCTACTCTATGGTGGGCTACGGCGCCAACAAAGGCATCGTCGTGCGGACTTGCGAAGAAATCTTCGACCGTATCAAGAAGAACAAGGTCCGCAAGGCGCACATCCATCCGTTCACCAGGTATGTGGATGGATGAATGGATGTGTGTGTGTCTCTTCTCATAGGACCCCAACTGGCAGTCTGAGGTGCTGGTGTCGATGCTGGAGATCTACAACGAGCAGGTGCAGGACCTGCTCGTCAAGCCCAGCCTCAGGCAAAGTGGCGGCCTCAAGATCCGCCACACGCCACAGCTCGGCACCTACGTGCAGGACCTCACCGAACAGTAAAGAAACGAGAAGGGACGAGGGAGGCTGCAGGCCATTGCTGGGATGGGTGTGTTTGTGCAGCCCCGTGGATTCGTACGACGCCATTTCGAAGAAGCTGGATGAGGGGACGAGCAATCGTACTGTGGGGGCCACACTCATGAACGCGACATCGTCCCGGGCTCACACCGTCCTCACCATCAAGTTCAAGCAGATCTCTCTCGACCCTGACACAAAGGCATGCAGGCACATACTAACCTCCCCAACCACCACCAATCAGCCCATCTCTGTCTGTCTCTCTTTGTGTGTGCATGTGTGTTACTCAGGAGGCGTTGAGCCAGAAGGCCTCTGACATCAACTTGGTGGATCTGGCGGGCTCGGAGCGTGCCGGATCTACAGGCGCCTCAGGAGATCGACTCAAGGAGGGAGCCAACATCAACAAGGTAAGCCACAGCATGTCGTGTGTACTGCTTTGCTTGGTTACCTGTGTGTGCAGTCCTTGTCTGCGTTGGGTAACGTGATTTCCGCTCTGGCCGACAAAGCCGCGGGCAAACTCAAGCCGGGCCAGGTGATTCCTTATCGTGACTCTGCGTTGACTCGTATCCTGCAAACAGCTCTCGGAGGCAACTCCAAGACAGCTATGGTAGACGGGAGGAACGGGGTCGGCCGATGACCGACCATGTCTCCTTCTTCGTCTTTCGGTGTGGTTCGGTGCAGATTGCCGCTCTGTCTCCGGCGAGCGTCAACTACGACGAGACCCTCTCCACACTCCGATACGCCGATCGTGTCAAACAAATCAAAAACGACGCACAGGTAGGTCACCCAATGCGCCCCGCCCAAGCCATGGCATCCATGTGGTTGCCCTCGGCTGTGTCTGCAGGTCAACGAGAATCCCATGGAGAAGCTCATCCGAGAGCTCAAGGAGGAGAACGAACGACTCAAAAAACTTGCAGGAGGTCTCACCTACCCATCCACACACATACGTAGTCGTCCTCCAAGCCATGGTCCTCTCGTCCGCTATTCTCAGGCGGTGTGCTGCCTGGTCCTGGTGGCGGCGAGCCTTCCGGTGACCCTGAGGAGATCGCTCGTATGAAGGAAGAGTTGGAGGCCAACAAGCGTGCGCTGGAGGAAATGTCCAAGTCGTGGTCACAGAAGGTGCAGGAGGCCAAGGCGCGAGACCTGGCCACCCAGGAGGCAGAGATCGATGCGGTCAGTCATTTGTCCTGCAGAGGGGAGAAGAGTTAGAGGTCGATTGACGTGGCTGCCTGACGTGTATCGGCCAGGTGTGTCCCATGCTCAAGAACCTCAACGAGGACCCACTGCTGTCGGGCAAAATCGTAGGATCGATGCCTACGTGATCGCCCGTCGTGCAGTAGCAGTAGCCAGCCTTCTGATCAATGTGTCTGTGTCTGTGTCTGTCGTGCGTTTGGTGCTAACAGTCGTGCAATTTGAAGGAGGGCACCAACGTACTGGGCAAGAAGGACAAGGAGAACCCCCCAGACATCATGCTCGGTCAGCCGTCCGTGTGTGCGACGGGCTCGTGCTTGCCCTTCCTCCTTCAAACATCTATCGATCGAGCGATCGACGGCTGCCTTCCTCGTTTGGGGCATATGTGTGTGCAGGTGGGTTGGGCATTTCCAAGTGCCATGCGACCATCACCTGCAAGAAGGAAAAGGAAGACGAGGATGACGACGAAGAGGTAACTTCGACGGACCGGTGGATGAATCCCTGCCTGCCTGCCTGCTCGCGTCCACTCCTCCTGTCAGACGTTTATCTGCCACATCACTGCCAGCGCCAAGACCCACGTCAACGGCAAACTGGTCGAGGCCGGACAGAGTGTCGAACTCTCTCACAAAGACAGAATCCTTTTCGGTCGGTGAGATGGAAGACGCACGCCAGGACACTCAGCCCACCTCTCTACGTCTCTCTGGGTGTCCGTCCGTCTGTATGTCTGTCTGTCTCTGTCAGGCAACCACAACCTGTTTGTGTATTTCGACCCAAGCGACGTGGACAAGTCGATGCCCGACTGGGAGGAGGCCATGAAGGAGGTCAACAAGAGCCTCATCGGCGCCATGGCGGGCGACGAGGAGGCCGACCTGTCCATGCGCGCCTTCCATGCCAAGCTCGAGGTGCAGCGAGAGGAGGCCGAGCGCAAGATAGAGGAGGAGAAGAAGGCCCTCGAGAAGCAGAAGAAGGAGTGGCAGAAACAGATCAAGGAGAAGGAAGAGAAACTCAAGTCAGAAGGGGTATGTGCGCGAGAGAGAGAGCAAAAGGGACACAGAGACAGACAGTGCGCGAGCGGGATGCTTCTCTCTCTTTCTCTCTCTCTCAGAACAAAGAGGAGGCCAAGAAGTTGAAGGAGCAGCTGGAGGTCAATCAGTCATACCGTAGATGCAGACTGCCGGCTGGTGTCATCAGACCTGCTCTGTGTGTCTTTCAGAAGGAGCGCGAGAAGCAGAACAAGGAGATTGAGAAGAAAAAGCGGGAGCTGGAGAAGAAGCTCGTCGAACTGGGCAGAGAACAGGCCAGAAGGACACGTCCACACACGTGTCTCGCTGTGGGACTGACTGTCTTGCGTGGCCGTGTCTGTCTGTCTGTCTGTCTGTCTGTGGGTCGACAGGATGAAGAGAAGCGCCAGGCCGAGGCAGAGATCCGCGCCAAGATGGTGCTGGAAGAGGTCCTCACCCGCACCATCATGCTCCTCGAGGAAGCTAACTGCATCGCTGGTCGGTTTTCCTGCTCCCCTGGTCGTGTTGTTCTCATACCTGGTGGCTCGATGTATGTCTGCAGATGAGATGGGCAAGGGAGTGTTCTTCTCGATCAAGCTCATCACGCGCGCCGACGCCATGGACGTCGCAAAGAAGAAGCTGCAGAGGGTAAATGGGTAGACGGTGCGGGTGAGGGGACGATGTGATGCGTCTCGTGCGTGCGTCCTGTGTGTGAGTGTGCTGCAGACAGCGATGCAGAACACGGAGATACAAATTCGCGTTGAGCGTTTCGACGAAGACATTGTGCAGTTCTGGCCACTCGATGTGTTTGAGGAGAAAATGTTTGAAATAAGAGAGGTCGGCGAACACACACGCATAATCGTGTGCCCCTCTTCTGAATCGTTGGCGGCTGTCCATGCGTCCGTGCATTCGGTGTGCAGCTGTACTCGACTTGGTCGATGTCTGACGACGAGACCCAGATTGGGATAGAGGGCGGCCAGGACCCATTCGCTTCCGACCCAGAGACACTGCACATGGTAAATGAGTCAAACGCACAGAGATGGACACGTGCATGTCTGTCTGTCGGTCTGTCTGTCTGTCTGTCGGTCTGTCTGCCTGTCTGTCTGTCTGTCTGTCTGTCTGTCTCCACAGCTGGGCCAAGCCTACCTGTATCTCGACCCCATTCGCAACCTGCTCGACATCGAGAAGGAGACCACACCCATATTCGACTATAAGTGAGTATGCATGGTCTGCTTCCTTGTGTGTCTTGGTTGTTTCTCGTCCACGTATCGCGTGCATGTGTGCCACAGGGGCAAGAAGGAGGGCGAGCTCATCGTGGCGCTCAAGATGGAGCTGCTCAAGGAGGACTGGACGCCCGCAGAAATCGAAAAGGAAGAGGTCAGAAATGTGTGACAGCAAGCCGTCACAGCGTCGACCTATCAACTTGTCTCTGTGTCTCTTGTTGCTCTGTCTCGTGTCGGGTAGAAGAAGAGCCAGGCGGTCTTCGGCACAGCGCGGACAGTCGCTGCACAAGACTTCGCAAACGTGAGATGACATGACAAGAGAATATTATTGTCACGCACGCACTTGTTCTCTGTCCGCTCATGTGCGCGTCAGAATCCACTGACAGACTACGACACTGTCGACGAGCTGCTGGGCCGCACACTAAAGCTTACTGTCGGGCTCGACAGCGCCAGAAACCTCAACGAGAAGTACTGCAGAAACCCACAAGTGGTCAGCCTGGCACACCACTCAACCATCCGTCCATCCATCCATCCATCCTATCAACACACTCCCTCAGGTGTACAAGTGGATTGATGGTGTGTCCGAGTACAAGGCGCAGGTGCCCGAACGGCAGTCGGTCATGGTCAAGACCGATCAGGACGACGAGGGGGAGGCACCTGCCATCAAGAAGCTCAAAGACGTCGTCTCACCCCAGCCTAAATTCTCATACGTCAAGGTGGGTAACCGACCATCCACATATATTCAGGTGCATGCCCATTCAGAATCTTTGGTTGGTTGATGCAGAATTTCTACGTGCCGCTGAATGAGGAGACCCTCCCCTGGTTCGACGGCGCTATCGTATTTGAGGTGCGTGTGTGCGTGTCTTGTCTTGGCGCAACTTCACACACACGCTCCTTCCTCCTTCTGTCAGGTATATGGCATGACGGTGGGCGAGCAAGCTGAACTCGAAAGGCGAGCCACTGACACACAGAGCAGAGCATCGTACCCCGTCCCACGCTTCAGCCAACGTTGTCTCGTTGTGTCGGTGTCTGTCGGTTTTGCAGGCAGCCGTCGGGCGAGTCTCAGTGGGCCGGGAAGGGACCCGGCAGAAGAAAGACCACTCTGAGGGTATGGACATGCGGAGGAGGGGACGAATGAATGGAATGGGATTCTTTGTGCTCTATCTTCTTGTGTTCTGTGTACGCAGGGTGGTCGCGATGACGAAGCCCTCCAGGTGGGCGTGGTGCGCCGGTGCCGGCCATGCAGCCTTCTGCGCCACTCACTGTCTTGTTTGCACTCTGTTGCACGTAAATTGTTCTTCACATGTTGCTTGCAGCAACAGTTGAATGAGAAGGAGGAGGAGTTGAATGAGAAGGAGAAAGCCGTGGGGGACCTGCAGAAGCAACTCGCCGACAAGGAACAGGTAGGTCACACACAGAGACACCAACCCACCCTTGGCTGCCGCGTCGTCCTCACGTACCTCTTTGAACCCTCCATCCGGCTGTGTCCATCCACTGTGTGTGCAGTTGCTGAAGCAGGTGGAGATGGAGCTGGCCAAGCAGGGGAAACAGCTCTACAATGAAGACGGATCCGTCGCATGCAGCATCATGTGATCGATACAAATCGGTGGATGGATGGACGGACGGACGGCATCAATGTGTCGTCGTTTGTCTCTCGCGAGATACACCCGCTTGCACGCGTGGCCGCCGTGGCGCTTCTCTCACCGTGATTGCATGCATCGATGTCCACCCATATACGTACGTGAATTGTCCGATTGCTCACCCTCTGCATGCTCCACGCTGTCATTTTTTCCATGCCTCCATGCACACACCATCAGCCAGCCAGCCAGCCAGCCAGCCAACCAGAGAGAGAGACACACATTGCTTGCTCCTTGCCAACGGCTTCCATTGCTGCCTCTTTTTGAAGTCGCGTGTACATGTGCGTGTGCATCGATCCACGTGTGTGTCTGCGTGTGTCTCTGTTGCACGCACGCAGTTGCTTTCAAGGGATGATTGGGGGAAGGAAGGTCAGGTATGGCGCGCATGTGACACCGTCGCTTGCTCGCTCCCTCCCTCTATATATGCAATGCGCTGCGAACGACGGCAACATACGAGCAGGCACATAACGTTGCACACACGCCACCCCAGCGGCCTGAAGGCGCCGCCTCCAGAAACAAGACATGCAGACAGGCTGCTGCGCGTGCCTTGCTGCTCTGATGCAAATGGTGGCTCACCATCGTCATAGCGAGGCCGTTCAGCCATGCACCGCTAGAGGCGATAGGGCTGAACTTGGTGCTTTGCTGCCTGACTGCAGGGTTCGGGCTTTAGGGTAAGGGAGATGATTTAGGGTAAGCTTGACGAACGACTTGGCGGAGGGGGAGGGAGGGAAAGACTTTCAACACCTTCCTCATCATCTTGCTCTGTCACATCTCCCTGCGGCCTCACATCTGCCACTGTTCATCTCAAAACAAGATGTCCGCCTCTACGTCCGCCTCTTTCATGCGCCTCTTCTCCATGTGCCTGCTGGCCTGCCTGCTGGTCCTCACGGCGACAACAGCCACCACTCCACCTGAAGAGCTGACCGCCACCACTGACTCCGGCATCGACGAGCCGCAGCTGCGTGGCACACAGAGGTGCTACTCGCTGTACGAGCGGTGCCGCAGAACGAATGACTGCTGCTCCAACAACTGCGTGGATGGCGAGTGCTGGCCGCGTGGCGAGCTGGCGCCCCGTGGACACTCGTGCCGTCACGGTAACGACTGCAAGACCGGCTACTGCCACAAACGACACCATTACGACAAAAAGGGCGTATGTAAGCGACAAAGATGAGCGACGGGGGGTTCGGGTCATGTGCTGTGCATGACGCTCACGTGCGTGCGTGGATGCATGTCTTTGTGTGCTGTGTGTGGTTTGTGCCTTGTGTGTGCAGGCCGTCCCAGGTGCCGCAAGGGCTACGCTGGGCCAAAGTGTGAGTACCTCTATGGCGCCATCAAGGTATGCACACCCACACGGACACACACATAGGAACGCGGCCAGACGCACATCTACTCTGTGGCCTTCTTTCTTTTTTTCTATCTATCTGTCTGTTCTGTGTGTGCGTGAAGATCGACCTGGGCCGCACCAAGCGCGGCGACTTCAGCCATGTGGACCGCTACACGAAGGCCGACCTCTACGTCAAGGCCAAGGCCTGGTACCTGGACGGCCGCCACAAGCAGGCCTCTGACACCGACACCATCGTCAAGAAGACCCGCGTCATTCGCGAAGACGACACGCCCGACTTCTCGCACGAGGACCTGTACTTCGCACCAAGGGCGTACACCAAGGTGAGGCTGGTGCTCAAGGACAAGGACAGGAAAACTGAAGACGACCGCATCGATGCCCACGTCATCGACCTGCACCGCTCCGACAAACACGACGACGACCACTTCCCCGAGGGCCGCTGTGACCTCGGGTATGAGGGCCATGTAGGGGGCCGGGTGCGCTGCTACTATACGTTTGTGCCATTTATGTGGCGCGGAGACTACTAGCTGGGCTCTGCAGGGAGGGGGGGAGGGAATGCATGAGCCAAGTATTTGGTTACAGTCTCACTGCTGCATGATTTCCTAGGGCTCTGCTCTGCTGTGCCCTGCCTCTGTTTAGTCGGTTTTCACACATGTAGCTATCGCTTCTTTGGCTAAAGTGCCGCCATGAGAGAGAGAGATTGATCTGTGCTTGAATGGGCGTTTATGTCAGTTTGTGTGGGTAGGGGAGCGGGGTGGGTGGGTGGGCTGCTGCTCAGTGACATGAGTCGTACATGCATGTGTTCGGTTTACTTTTCTTTTCATTGAAGCACCGACAGAGAAAGACAGACTGGCAAGAGGGAAATACTCAACGTGTCACACACACTGATAGACGAGTCTGCAACGACGCACCTTCACACATCAACGAACACAAACCGGCGATGGTTGTCCTTCTCAGCACATCAGCGAGAGCTCGAACACGCAAGACACCACCCGCACAGCCAGTACTAGGCATTCTGCAGCTGCAAACCGAGCAGACGGCGAAAACAAGACACACACTTCCCACCTCCCATGTAGCAAGCTATCCAGAGTACACCCTGCCGATGAAATGGCCTGCCTCAATCCTCGAATGGGTCTTCCGTAAAGTCGTCGTCGTCGTCGTCGTCGTCAATCCGATCATCGTCTGGTATGGTTGCGGGGGTCGGGAATGCCCATGACGCGATCGCTCGCAGCACGCACTCCGGGAAGATGTCCACCGAGAAAAGGGCGACGATCTGCAGGGCACGTGTGGCGCAAAAAATGGTCAGACGGGCGATGTTTGTCCATTGCTGGCATCGCGTCACCTGTCGCTGGACCCCTCTAGGTAGGTCGGTGAAGTCTGCCGGAGTGAAGTTCTCGCCCAGCACCTCTGATCGAGACCATGCACGCAACCCACATGGACATGGACACACACTCACGCGTGTGCTCCTTCCTCTCACCGGGAACGCGCTTGCCGAGCCAGAACCCAACGCCCCTGACGAGCACATGACACGCAACCACACACACAGGATGCATCTGACTATCCATAAAACCTCTTACCCGATGCATCCGTAGATACTATCGGTCGGCCCGCTCATCAGGTATCTTGGCACTACTCCATCCGCTTCACCGCCCTCCCACTCCGACACGTCATCACCCACACAACCACACCTAATTGCGCGACCGCTGCTGGTGGTGAACACCGCACCGCCGACGAAGCGATGGGCGGCGTAGTCTGCTTCATCAAAGACGACTCTCATCGACCTGATCCACTCGCCCGAACGGAAGTTGAGGCGCTCCGAACCTCTTCTCCAGGCCAGGGACCCGCCGGCTGTGATGGTCTCACGCTCCCCGTCGACGACAGACACGTACGTCGTGGACACCTGAAACATCAATGTCGTGCAGCATCAAAAACGCGCATTCAGATGATGGTTGGCTATTGCATGAGAGCCGCACCTTCGTCATGATGTCATATCCCAAGTCTCTGTCATCCTCCTCTTCGCCGCCCTCTTCCCAGAGCCGAATCGTCGCGAGGCGCCACTCGTTGACGTCCCTGTGTGGATGCCTCTGCGTCAGGACGGCGCGGTCATCGGCTGCGTCGTCCAATCTACACCCAAAAACGACGCGAGACGACATCAGGTCAAGACAAAGCGGTCAGCTTCGAAAGATCTTGCATTCGCGTCCTCCCGCCGACGAATGGATCTACGCGGCCATCCCGTCCCTTCTCCGGCCACCGATCTTGGACTCGCACTCGCGAGCTTGAACTTTCATCGTGCGAAAGCTGAAAAGATCTCCCCATGATCTTGGTGCAGGCCGCCCCCCTGCTAGCCCTGCTGCTTGCATGGGCTGCTGCTTTCACGCCCACGCCTCTGCTGCCCAACATGAGGATGCGAGCAGCAGGCAGCAGGAGGGCCGCTCGGAAGCCTCCACTGCAGCTGCACATGGAGGAGGTGGATCTGAGCCCATCAGGGGGCATGACGCTTGTGGCGGACGAAAGGCAGAGCGAGGCTACCACGGGTGACGGCTTTGCTGATGGTGAAGACGATAGTGAGGGTGACGACTCATCGGACTCCTTATCGATGGAGCATGTGGACACCATTGCTGCGGCGCAACAAGCGCTGCCTGTCGATGAGATATATCCCGTCAGCATTCAGGTGCGTGGCGTGAGCGGGACATACGGAGTGACTGACTCTAGCTGCACATGAGGGGATGATTGGTTGTCTGTCTGTCTGTCTGTCTGTCTGTCGTGCGTGTGTGCAGGACAGAGCCCGCCACATAGACAGCCTGGTGCGGGTCCACGGCAAGACACACACAGACACGGAAGAAACGACCGCACACCACTCCACTTTTGCTGTCCATCCATCCATCCATCCATCTGTGTGTGTGTGTGTGTGTATTGCAGGAGTCATACGAGGAGATGTACGCCCGGAGCATCGAGGACCCCCACGGCTTCTGGGCCGACATGGCCACACAGACTCTCACGTGGCAACAGCCCTTCACCAAAGTGCAGCACGGGTGGTGGGCGAGCCGGCCTGGCCTGAGATGAGCTAGCTGCAGTGTCGGCAGGCAGGGTGGGGTGTGTGTTTGATGCGATGCCCGCAGTGAGATGCACCCCGATGGACACGTCAGCTGGTTCCTCAACGGCAAACTCAATGTGAGTGAGCTTGTGGAATATATAATGGTGGCAGGCAGGCAGGCAGGCAGGCAGGCAGTCTGTGTGTGTGTGTCTGCAATTGGCTCCTGTAGGTCTGCGAGAACTGCGTGGATCGCTGGGCGGAGGAAACACCCGACCGGATCGCACTCATCTGGTCAGCCCAGCACACGACTCAACACACACATCCCTATGGGGCGTATTTGAGAGTGTGTGGATCCATCGTGGATGCATCACATCAACCAGGGAGGGCGACGATCCGTCTCACAGTAAGAGGATCACCTACAGGGACCTCCACACACAAGTCTGCAAGTTCGCCAATATGCTCAAACGACTTGGTACCCCCCCCCCCCGTCTCCACACACACACAAGGCCATCCACCCGTCCATCCACGCCTCCCTGTGAGTGTGTGCGCAGGTGTCCGGAAGCACGACACAGTGGGGATCTACATGCCGATGATTCCCGAGACCGTCTACGCCATGCTGGCCTGCGCCAGGCTGGGCGCCATACACAGTGTGGTCTTCGCGGGGTTCTCTTCGCATTCCCTGAGAGATCGACTCGACGACGCTCACTGCAAAGTGGTCAGCGAAGGAGGGGAGGGAGGCAGAGAGAAGGACGCGGGGAGCCAGATGACGCAAGCGTGTCTGGTCGTGTGTGTGTGTGTGCAGGTGATCACGGCAGACCAGGGCGTCCGTGGCGGCAAGGTGATTCCTCTGAAGAGCGTGATGGACGAGGCGCTCAAGGAGTGCCCTCTGGTGGAGAAGTGCATCGTCTTCAAGCACCAGGGTGGGGTGCGCACGCACATGAACACACACACACACACAGGGGGGATGGGGGTGCTCACACTTATCTGTCTTGGGCCTCTGGATGTGTGTGTGTATGTGTGTGTGTATGTGTGGTTCTGGTGAGTGCAGGTCACGACATCGACTGGACTGAGGGGCGTGACGTGTGAGGGCATGAAATGATGGTCAGTCGGTCAGTCAGTCAGTCAGTGGCTCAGCAATCCATCAACGCGGGCGTGTGCTGTCCATCCATCCATGTGCTGTGCGTGTGTGTGTGTGTGTGTGTGCGTGATGATACCATCATGGCCACCAGGAGGCAATGCGCCCCTACTGCCCTTTGGAGCCAATGGACAACGAAGACCTCCTCTTCATGGTCAGCCAGCCAGCCACACCGTCAGCCATCCACACGCAGGCGCACCTGTGCAGGTGAGGGATTGTGTGTGTGTGTGTGTGTGTGTGGCTCGTTCATCGTCAGCTGTACACTTCTGGGTCGACGGGCAAGCCGAAGGTACGACGCCCGGGTGTCTGTCACAAGACACGGGCGACACATGCACCCATTCCTCCCTCCCTCCCTCCCTCCCTCTGTCTGTTTGTCAGGGCATCGCCCACTCCAGTGCCGGCTACCTCCTCTACGCAGCCATGACACACAAATACGGTCAGCCAGCATCCTTGCCGCTCTGTGCTTGTCACCTTGATTTGTGTGTCATTCGGTGCATCCATTGATTCCATTCAGTGTTCGACTACCACCCGGGCGACGTGCACGCGTGTGTGGCCGACGTCGGCTGGATCACCGGCCACTCGTACGTCGTCTACGGGCCTCTCTGCAACGGCGCCACAACCGTGCTCTTCGAGTCGGTGCCAACCTACCCTGATCCGGCGCGATACTGGTAGGGTGTGCGTGTGTTTCTGTGGGACAATGGCCTGGTTTTCTGCCATCGTTGTCCATCCATCCATGCATCCGTGTGTGTGAGAGACAGGCACATGATTGAGAAGCACGGGATCAGCCAGTTCTACACGGCCCCCACGGCCATCCGGGCGCTGATGGTGCATGGCGACGAGTGGGTGTCCAAACACGACCTCTCCTCGCTCCGTGTGCTCGGCACTGTGGGGGAACCCATCAACCCGGAGGCATGGCGGTGGTAGGTACCGACAAATCGATGGATGGAGGGATGGATGGATGAGAGGCCTTGATTGACATGGGCGGGGCGTGTATGTGGGTCTCTCTGTTTATCGTTTTGTTTTCTGGGGGCATATGTTGTCGTGCAGGTACTATGAGGTGGTTGGGCGGAAGCGATGCGACATTGTCGACACATACTGGCAGACAGAGACCGGTCAGTCATTTGAACACTCAGGCCGCACCAACAGACAGACACATACACACATACACACAGATGCATTCACCATTTCCTCTCCCTCTCCCTCTCCCTCTCTCTCCGTCATCCACTCCTTCCCTCAGGTGGGCACCTGCTGACCCCCCTCCCCGGGGCCATCCGGTGCAAGCCCGGCAGCGCCACGCGGCCCTTCTTCGGGGTCGAGCCCGTCGTACTCGACAGCAAGACCGGCCAGCCACTGGAGGGCGACGACGTTTCCGGCGTCCTCTGCATCAAGAAACCATGGCCAGGTCCCTCCCCCCCCTCCCCACGGCAACACACCACACCCAGGTGTCTGTGTCTGTGTGTGTGTCTGTGTGTGTCTGTGTGTGTGTAGGGATGATGCGGACGGTGTATGGTGACCACGAGAGGCTGCTCAACGTCTACCTCCGGCCGTACAAGGGTTTCTACCACACGGGGGACGGCGCGGTCCGCGACAAAGACGGCTACTACTGGATCACCGGCCGAGTGGACGACACCATCAATGTCAGCGGACACCGCCTGGGCAGCGCCGAGATCGAGCACGCACTGGTGCAGCATCCCGGATGCGCTGAGGCGGCGGTGGTGGGCTTCCCGCACAGTGTCAAGGGCGCTGGGCTCTTCTGCTATGTCACCATGAACGTGCGTATGTACGCTGAGGGGAGGGAGGGAGAGCCTGATGTGGTGTGTTGGTCTGTGTGATGTGATGGTGTCGTGTGGTGTTGTGTTGTGTTGTGTTGTGTGTGTCAGAATGAGTATGAGGTCAACGAGGGGACGGTGAATGAGCTGCGGGACATTGTGCGCAAAGAGATCGGACCCATCGCCACGCCTGACCACATGTGCGCAAACTGACCTCCCCCCCTCCCTCTCCCTAAGGCACACTCTCTCTCTCCCTTCGCCCCTCTCTCTCTCTCTCTCTGTCTCTCTGTGTGTGTGTGTGTGTTGTGTGTCAGTTTGATCGTGCCAGCCCTGCCCAAGACCCGCAGCGGCAAGATCATGCGCCGGCTGCTGCGCAAGATCGCCTCCAACGACACGGGCTCCCTCGGGGACGTCTCGACCCTCGCGGACCAGCAGGTCGTGTCGGACCTCATCAATGCCGCGCAGAAGCTCTTCAACAAACGATAGATAGCAGCGAGAGAAAGAAAGGCGTGAAAAGACAGACCATATACCGCCACCCACACGGCTAAGTTGCATGTCTGTTTCCTGTCTCTCTCTGTGTCGGTGTGCGTGTCAGTCAGCTTTGTGTGTGCTGCTCCTTCGTGTCGTGCTGCTGAATGATACTTACACACGAATGGAATGTGCGGCTTCATGGGTGCGGCTTCATGTGTGTGCGTGTGTGCGTGTGTTCGTGTTGCGTGTGTAGGGCCAGCCGCTTATGTCTGAAATGGCATCAATGATGCGGCGGGGGGTTGGGAGGAGGGGGGTCCGGGGGGAGAGGGCTTTTGGTTTATCGCGAGTTTTCAATCCTCTCTCTCTAGTCCTTAAGCCGTATTTCTGCTCTCACACGGACACACACACATCACATTTTTGCTTCATACGCCCCTCGCGGCACACAGTAACACAGACCAATCCCCTCACTCGTGTGTCGTTCGTGTCGTTCATCGTGTCTCATATGGTGCTGTCTGTGTCGTGAAGGCCGTTCGTCCGTTTCATGTCGGTTTCATGTCGAAGGAGGAGACAAGAGAAGACCAGGGACGGAGGGAGGGAGGGAGGGAGGGAGGGGCGGCTTTTGGCCTGCTTGCTGCTTGCTCGTCGATGCAGCGTACACACACACGTCCATTTGAGGAGAGACATGTAATGCCGTCCAAGAGAAGCGCCCGGATGGTAGGTGGCTCACGTGCGCTCACTCGAAGGCACGTCGGCCACGCACATCGGTCAGTCCTGACTCCCTTAATTGGCCTCTCACGTACGACAGCATAGAGCGGAGGGCAGAGAGCGGAGCGAGGTTCACCAGGCAGGCTGCCTGGTCGGGTAGGAGAGATCATTTCTATGGCTGTAGGACATCGCTGTCATTCGTCGGTATGGTGCATGTGCCATGATGACATCTGGATGGATGGATGGATGAGTGTATCCGTGCGTCCCTGTGCACATGCACCCCCCTCCCCCCTCCCCTGTGCGTGTGGTGTCCGGTGTGTGGTGTGGTGTGGTGTCGCATAGTCGTGCTTTCTTTCTCTCTCACAACTCAGTGGCACGGCCTTTTCGCTCGTGTGGTGTCTGTCTGCCTGTCTGCCTGTTTGTGTGTGTGTTTGCGTGTCCTTCGTTCATGTGCCCAAAGAGAGCGGCGTTGCCTTGCCTTGCCTTGCCTGCACCTTTTACCTTTCGTCAATTCTGTTGCCACACATCATGTAATCCACTCACACACACACACACACACACAGACGCAGGCAGACAGACGTACGTGCGGGCCCTGACAATTTGGACAAACGCGTCATTCGAGCAAATGGGCGAATAGAGTGCTTTTTTCTTCCACCTTTTTCCGTCGTGTGGCAGCCAGCGGTTCCTTGCAAGCCCTGCCTACCAAAGCGACGGACATCGATGACACGTGCATGACACACACAACACAACACGCCCGTCCACAAGTTCTCGCAAAGGAGGGGGAGACACAGACAGACAGACAGACAGACATCACCCTCGCTGAGGACGCAATTTTGACTCTGCATGTTCGTGTGCGTGCGTGTATTCTCTACTTCCTACTATCTCCGGGCAGGCCCACTGCCTGCGATGGATGGATGGATGGATGGATTGCCTGATGGGTGGGAGGGTCGCCATTTTTTGAGGCGTCCATCTGCCCGGCCAGCCGGCCGGCTGACCCACCGAAGGACAGCGCGAGAGAAGGAGTCTGCGGGCCCACCCTCGAGGGGGGAGACAGCAGTTTTGTGGAGCCTCGCATGTTGTGGTGCTGCATGTGGACAGAGTGAGTGGCCTTTTCTACCTTTGTACGGTGTAATGTGATGCGTGTGTGTGCGTGGGTCGGCCACAAAGTGGGGGGCGGGCGGAAGATGGAATGTGCGGCCTCGTGTGTGCGGATGTGCGTGTGGAGGGGAGGGGCACGGCGCGTCTCAGAGAGACTTGGCTGCTGTGGGTGTGTGCGTGTCTGTGTGTGTGTTCCGGGAGGCAGGCGCCGAAAGGCCACCCACTTAATTCACCCTTTATAGCTGTGGTCAGGGGGAATTTTGCCAAAGTGTGCTGCTGCTTGGCTGGCACCAAAGCGATGGACACTGTGTGGGAGGGAGGGAGGGAGGGAGGGAGGAGGGTATATACGTAGCTTAGCTAGGCCGTGGTCCCTGCCGTTGGTTTGTCACTTGGCTGGCTGATAGCTGGATGGATGGGTGGGTGGATGGCCCGCCATATGCTCCACCTGCTCCATCCATCCATCCATCCATGGATCGACACAGTACACACACACTGAGAGCGCAAGGCGCGAGGGTACACGTGTCTTGTGATGGTTTGTCTGCTATTGGTGTGGGTGTGTATCGTGTGCGCGCGACGAACGCACCACCGGCGCCACATTCGTGCGACCGATTGATTCATCCGATGGATTCGGTCATTTGTTCGCTCCACCAATCCGTCCGTCCCTCTGCTGTGTCGTTTTTGACAGCAGCGAGGAGAGGAGGGAGGGGGGTTGAGCTGCCTCGCCGGTGGTCACTTGCCCTTTGTTTTTCTTGGGTGTGATGCCGAGACATATATATCCATGCGGTAAAGATTGTGTGGGTTGCGAGCAGCGCTAGCGACTGCTGTGTGCTGCTTGGACATGTTCGCCTTTGTTTGCCTTCAGATACTTGTTATTTACACTTACCGGCGTGTCCCTTTGTGTGATTTCTTGCTGCCCCTTCCCCCATTGCACTATGGGGCACACACACACACACACACAGCGGACAGACAATCGCACGGCCACACGCCATGAAGTAATCCACAGGCAGACAGAAGAGGGTTGCACTTCGTGTGCAGGAGGGGGCCTTGGCGAGCCGACGAAGGGCCGGACATGCCCCCCCAAACACGAAATGTGACCCCTTTGCAGACAGAGACAGAGACAGAGAGAGGGGAAGTCAGCTGCACATACATCGACCAGGCCAAGCCGCCACAAATCACAGCCATGAGCAAGTCAGACAGACAGCCAATCCACCCATATATATGTTCCCATGCCCTTAGCTATCAATGTGTGTGTGGATGGATGGATGGATGATCTCTCTCTCTCTCTCCCCCAGCAGGTAGGTGCCCTCCCCCCCTCCCTCTCTCTACCAGTCTGTTAGCTATACGTGTGAGTCTGTCCAGGCGTCTACTTGCCTAGCGGCCGGACGTATTCCGCCTGGATCTGCACACACACACACACACACATTTACCATCCAACAGGCACACAGAGAGCCGCACTCAATCGGCCTTTCCTAAAGCTTTGAGTACATTCACACACACACATGAAGGCCAGCCGCATGTGAGCCATCCACGAGCGGTGCTGTGTGTGGCGTAGATCTTTCAAAGCCTCTCCCACCATTGCTGTCGGGCGGGCCCTCGCAGTTCATGCCATACAGATCGCAGTCCGAATTCCGTCGAGCGGCGCCCACTGCGGCCGACATGGCCGCCGCGGCAATGAGGAGCGCATACGCCGTGGTCGCCATGCCCGTCATCGCCCGCACTCTCCGTCTGACGTGGTCAACCGACGGCCGGTTCTTCTTTCGCCGATCCGAACAACAAAGTCTTCCTGCAACGAATCGCAAGGGGATGGAATGTCCCGGGTCGCTGAATTTGTAGATCACTCTGAGCTTGCGGATCGAAAGTGCTTCCTGGCCAGTAGATCACATGGGAGTTGACACAGACAAGGGTTCTCTTCCAGATGTCACGAAACGTTACACACGTTCACACATTAGCGAAGTGGGCGACTGGTGGCCTCCCCGCCGATCAGAGACAAACTGAACGTTTGTTGGCAGCACAGATCTGGTTGAAGGCAGCGATGTGGCTGCCTGCTGTCCTCTTGACTCTCCCCCATGCCGTCGGCGCCGCTCGTCGGTCCCCTGCTGCTGCGGCACCTGGCAGTGTGTCCTTCGTGGCCCCTTCTATCATGCTGCGTGGCAAGACTACTGCCGTGGCCGAAGGGAAGCAGCTGCAGCGAGGACAGGCACCGCGCGGGATTGGCGTGAGGACGAGGCAGCCTACAGTCTTGCACTTCTCTGGCTGGGGGGAGCCGACGGCTGTCACATCCCTTATGAGGGTATGCACACTCTGTAGCGGAGACCGAATATGGATGAGTGTGGATGTGTCTGCGTGTGTGTGTTTTAGTTCAGCCTGGAGCTGTTGGTCATTTTCATTGCTGGAGGCGCCATTTTGGGCATCAGTGAGTCAGACAGTCATCCTTCGACGCCTGATGCATCTGTCTGTGTGTCTGTCTGTCTCAGTCTTGATGTTTTTGCACTCCTTGGTCTGGGTAGCCGTTTCCACTCAGGAGGCCATGTGGAGGCACCAGAAGAACGCAGAGATGGCCAGACAGGAAGCAGAGAAGGCCAGACAGAGGCGCGAAGAGGAAAGGGCCAAGGAACAGGAGAGAATGAGGCGACAGGCGGCCAAGGACCCCAAGATGGAATGGGACGACAGAATGAGAGAGAGGCAGCAAGGAAAAAACACCGGAGGGGTGTTTGGCTTCCTCAAACTGTAGGAGAGGACATTGGTACGTCGGGGTATGTCATATGTACTGACGCACAGGGCATGGTATGTATGTGTTTACGTGTATACGCCCTACAACACAAGACAAGACAAGATACAGAGCACAGACGAATCTACTCACAAAACGGGTAGACCGCTCAGCCATCGACTCTCCCTCCACTGATCGACGGCAGAGGACTCACTCACAACGCAATGCAATGGAGGATGTTCCCTCAGCCACTCGGACACAAGCAAGCAAGGGGCTATTCAGCTATCACACCCACACACACACACACACAGTGGTGTCAGTCTGCCTGCCTGCCTACCTCTTTCTCGTACCCAACACAGAAGAGAAGAGCCTACGTACCTCCGTATGCACGTGCAGGTAAGAGGGTTGTCGTCTCGTCTTCTCATCGCTGCTGTAGTGGTGCTGGTGCCTGGGGCTGCTGCAAGCAGTGGACCGTGACGTCGCTTTGCTTGCGGCTGGGTCGTCCTCTCCAAGAGCTCATCAGTTGTCCTTCTCCCGTCCAATTCCGCCATGAGGTGGGGTTGACGCGTCGCTCCAATGTGCGCCGACCTTGTTGTGTCCCTCCCTGTCCTCTCAGTGGCGATCGCCTCTAAGATTGGAGGTGTCGTGGCCGTTCTGCAGATCCGTTCGGACGTCAATCTTGATGGATGGTCAGCGCCAAACTCAGAGGAATATCAAGACCATTCTCGGGCGGTCCGGCGGTGCCTCTTCCAGCTCTTCAATGGCTCGTCTTTTCAGCCGCAGAGCAGGGATGTCGATGCAGCAGCGACCGGAGGATGCGCCGCTGCCGAGTTGCCGAGGCAGGCTATGCAAACGCCTCCTTGTTGTGCGCCGACCTTGTGTCCTCCCCGTCCTCTCAATCGCCGTTCTGCAAATCATCCATCTCTCCAGCTGCAACGGAGATGGGTGGTCCAGCAGAAGGAAGCTCAGCCCGCGCTCGCCTCCCCGAGGAGGTCTGCAAGCTCAGCTCGCAACGAGGGCGAGCCCTCGAGATCTGCAACTCTAAGAAGAAGCAGAAGAAGCAACGCATGCGTGTGAGGCGTCGCTGTGATCGGCCATGGCGCTTGGAGACTGTCGGCATCTCCCGGAGTGAGAGATGGCATATCGCCGGCCTCCCACCACCGATCTGACACGCATTTGCCAGGCATGCCTCTGTATTGCTTTAGCAGCCACATTCGCCGTCATTCTCAGCCAACATCCGGCGGCTTGCCAACAAACGAGTCACGGTGACCTGTCGTCCCACTCCACAGCAGTGCCGCCGGCCGTGTGCGGCAATGTCGGCGAGTGGGATGACTCCGAGTGCGACACGGTGGACAACGGCGTGTGTGTCGTGCAGCAGAGCCGCGTCAGAGCACAGCTCACCGTCGTGTTTGATGGCGACGTCATCCTGCAGAACGCCACGCTCAAGTGCGTCGAGACCTACGAGGCCTACCTGAGGACCAGCAGCACTCTCTGCGCGACGGGCAACGTGACTCTGTCACACTCGCTCGTCCATTGCGCGTCGGTCGACGTGTGGGCGGGCGGCTGGATTGTCATCGACAGGCTCAGTGAGGTGTCTGCCAACGGCACGTCGTCTTATTTCCGCAGGGGAGTGGGCACGAGGGGCGTGGTGAGAGGCGGCAGCTACGGGGGGCTGGGAGGCGCCAACACCGACTGTGGGCCGGATGCAGGTAAATCAATGGCTGGGTGGGCTGCACTGCACGTACATGCATTGCCATGCCATGCGCATGTGTGTTCATCCATCCATCCATCGATCTGTGTGTTCAGATTTCCCTCTCGACTACGCCTATGGCGACCCCTTTATGCCGACAGAGTTCGGCCACGCCGGCATGGCCAACGGCGCACGAGGCACAAACGGCGGCGGCAAGATCCACCTCAACGCCACCACGGGTATCCTTCTCGACGGCACCATATCATCAGGCGGCGCATTCTCACCCAAAGTCGACCGCCCGGCGGGATCCGGCGGCTCCATACTGATCCGGTCACCCACGCTCACCTTCACATCGCCCCTGCTGCCCGGCCGCGTGACGGCCACTGGGGGCGGGTGTGACGTACCCCTGACGCGCAAAGACGGCTCCGGTGGGCGCGACAAGGGCAAGCAGCTCGACTGTGCGAGTGGAGGGGGCGGGAGAATCTCCTTCCATGTCGGCACACCCCTCCCACCGCCGCCCGCCGTGCTGGCGTCTGGTGGCTGCGGCACGTCTGGCGACCCCAATACGCTGCCGTGCCGCTGCGGTGGGGCCGGCACCATCTACTCCGCCTACGCCCACAAGCTGTCCATCTGGAACCGACCTTACGTGACGCCATTCTTTCCCGTAATCATCCCGGGTGGCGGACAGGAGGAGACGGCCGAGAGGACGGAGCAGGGGCCCTCCCCGCCAGCCCCCTCTCAGTTCTTCCCCGAGCAGCCGACCCCTTTGGGCCTTCTGAACGACCCGCAACTCGCTGTCGAGCTGGACACTGCCGTGGCCATGCCAGCAGTGGAGCCCGCCGTTATGAACGTCTCATCGCTGTCTCTCTCTGCCGGCCTGACGGGCTCTGAGTTCCGCTCCCAGCAGCAGCTGACACTCTATGCGCTTGATCCGAATGGCGTGGGCGTCAAGCTGCGGCAGAACAGCCGGCTGCGTGTGGCCAACCTGCAGCTGTACGCCTCGCAGGTCAACGTGGGCGACAGCGCCACTCTCGAGTTCGGCAATGCCACCATATGTGCGTATGGCGACATGATGCTGCACGGGGCTCTCGAGCAGAGGGGCCAGGGGCAGCACAACCGGCTGATCGTCAATGCGTCCAATGTCGAGCTGGCGGGGGCCGTCGTGGGGTCCATGTTCGTCTTCAGCCAGCACCTGACCATCCTCAGCGGCAAGACCGTCCGGTCGTCCAACCAGGGCAAGTGCGACGCCTACAAGACAGAGACGACGGACTGGTGCGAGATGCTTCTGGGGCTCGAGTGGCCGCCGGACGTCACTGAGCTGCAATCTGGCATTCACAATGTGTCGTTCGATGTGGCCTTCGTGGCCAACGACACTTTGGACCTGCAGCCATTGGCCCAGGTCACGGCGCCGTCTGTGCTGCTGTGTGCCACCAACAATGCCAACATTGCCGGTGGGTGTGTGTGCGACAAGGGAGAGAGGGAGGGAGCGAGGTTGGTGAGTCCTCATTCCGGCTGGTGGTATGCCCGTCCGTGTGCGTATCATGTCATGCAGGTGTGTTGACTGCGTCGAGTGCCGGCTGTCCGCAGAATGAAGGTATCGGGAAGGGCACATCGGTGCCGAAGGGGCCGCACCACTCACCTAACAAGGTGAGTGGAGGGCATCTGCCCGGGAGGAACATTCAGGCACACCCTAGTGAGTGAGTGAATGCATCTCTCTGCGTCCCTCCCTCCCTGCCATGGCTTGGTAGGTGTGCGGCGGCGGTGGTGGCGGCCATGTGGGCAAGGGCGGCGACGGTGTGGACATGATGACCGGCGACCTCTGCTACGGCACAGGCGGGGAGTCCTACGACAAGTGGGGCATATGGGACCACTGGGTACCCACCACAAGCGCATCGGGCGGCGGGGGCGACACCGACGCCGCCGGCAGGGGCGGGGGCATCATCTGGATACGCAGCCAGCTCCTCAACGTCTCGGGCGAGATCTCAGCCAACGGTGGCGACGCCGAGCCCAACAACCCTGATGGCCCCAACCCTCCCCCCTACTCCCCCGCACCTCTCACCCCTCCCCCGCCACCCCCACGCAGCGGCGATTCGGGCGGCGGGCAGAAGAGATACGCCGATGACCTGGTCGACAGGTGGTTTGAATTCGACCGAGACGACGCGCACAGGCGGTCCAGCAAGGAGGGTGGGAAGAAGGGCAAGGACGTGGGTCTTGAGGGGGACGGCAGTGACAGTGGCAGGGGTGGCGACCAGCCGGTCGCTTACCGCGGGCTGGCTGAGGAGGGTGGGCCGTCCTCTGTCCCCGTCACGTTACCTGCCGCACCGTGTGGCGAGGGGCATCCACAGGCAACAGCAGCAGATGCTCCCACGGCCGCCCCAGCTCAGCAGCAGCAATGGCAGCAGCATCCCCCGCTTCCCAAGCCAAGACGCATCCGCAGCACAGCCAAGCTAGCAGGGCATCGCACTCGCGACTACCCCATACCCAAGTACGGCAGGACACTGCCAGAGTCCATTGCGCCGGCCAAGAGGGGGTGCGACAAGGCCACCGAGAAGAAGAAAACAGACAAGGAGAAGATGGCGGCCACCGTCGCGTCTGCCGTGGCCTCGTTCACCACGGTCATGGACGCCATCGAGAGCAGCGAGGAGGGCGAGGGGGAGCGGAAGGTCACGGTGCCGTCGGACACATCATCCGCCGTGATTGCGGCCGCTCTGCTGGTCACGTGGAGGCACCAGGAACACAATAAGGAGAAGAACAACTCGAGCCGCAGCAGCAGCAGCAGTGGCGGTGCTGGCGGGGAAGGCGGCAAAGGGGCGCTGTACCAGCTGAGCTCGATGATATCTGCGTGGATGGAGGGGGAGGAACCGGGGGCGCCCTCGTCGCCGTCATCCCCCTTTCTGTCGCGCCTGGCGGTTTTGTTCGACGAGCAGGCGCCGATGATCGACGTGCAGCGGACGGATGTCCCGCCATTCTTCCTCGACCAGGACGGCACCATCAGCCACTCAAACAGGACCCTCGTCACGCCCCCTCCCGACCTCTCACGACCACAGGACCACAATCGGACCAACACCACAAATGATAATGAGACGACAGGAGCGGCGCAAGGAACGTCCCTGATCGAGCTGGGCGCCACGTACACGACCACCGCTACCCATGACAACACCAGCGACATCACCACGAAGGCGGTCAGCAACAACGACACCCAGCCACTCACTCTCCGCCCCACAACTGCGCGCGGGGCTCCCTTGGTCGACGGCTCTGCGCCCTCCCCCTGGCTGACTGAGGTCGCAGACCTCTCTCAGATCGGTCAGGGGGGCGGTGCGGGCGGCTCCGTGGTGATCCAGGCATGTCATCTCGTGGGGTCAGGGCAGATCCTCGCGCAAGGTGGGAGGGGAGGGAGGTGCACCGGGGGGGGTGGGGGCGGCGGGGTGACGGCATTCCACTGGCTGACGCCCTGCCAGAACGGCACGGCACACTTCGAGGGCAAGGTGGGAGTGGACGGGGGGCTCCCCGACACATCAGCCATGTGCAACCAGACCAGCCCGGGGCAGATCGGCGAAGAAGGCGAGAAGATCCCTCTCCGGCCGTGCGCGCCGGGGTTCTTCGGTTGGGCCTGCTCGCCATGCCCCGTCGGCACTTACAACGAGGAGGGCGGCCTGGTGTGCCACAAGTGCAACAACAAGCCGACGCCCGAGGCCTACTACACTGAGGCCGGGTGGCCGTTGCCCGACTGCCCCTACCAGTGCCCAGAAGGGTTTGCCGACGTGTCGCAGAACCCCAAGTGCCTCACGCCCGTCGAGTACTTCTTCACCTTCTTCGGGGGCCTTCCCGGCATGATCAGCATCCTGGTGGCGGTGGTGCTGCTGGTGGTGTCGTCCATCGCCGTCAAGAAGCTGCAGAGGAAGAGGCGGCTGCACATGTCGATCGGCCAGGCCAACGCGCACCCCCTGATGCGCGTCGTGTTTGACGACCCCTTTCTCACGTCATTCTCCAGCGCGACGCCCGTCGACTCTGAGAACAGGCAGCAGCGGATGAGCCAGCCCATTATGGGGCTGGAAGACCTCCCCTTTCACGTGCAGCGCATCTACCTCCTCGGCAACAACAGCTACGACTCGCCCTGGGGGATGGACCCTGTCCCTCCACCCATTCTGGAGCCCCACGTGCTGCCCGACCGCTACGCGGCCTTCGCCGACCATGTCAACCGCATCGGCCGCTGGTACTGGTACCAGAAGGTGCTGCTGGCCACTCTGAAGGTGCTGTACCTTCCTCTGTCTTACCACGCCCGGCAGCGGGGCCGCAGGCGGCGCGCCAAGGCCATGCTGGGGTTCGTGTCGACGCTCGAGGGCCACCACCCCGACAAGATCTTCTGGAAGTCGATTCGGGCGCGTCAGCTGTCTTTCGGCCTCAAGTTCGGCAGCGACGCCTTCGCCACGCTCGGGTACATCGATATCCTCGACTTCGACAGGTCTTTGATGGACTGGACGTGCAAGCCCTCGCTGCCGATGGTCCTGCCTGCGGCGGGCGACGGCTCCTACACGGCCTCCTTCCACCTAGACCTCACCGACCCCCTTGTGTACTCTCTGTCCCAGTACCTGGGGCGGCCGACGTGGCATGCAGTGGTATCTTGCTTCAACCGAGTGGTGCGGCTGATGGAGGGCGGGGAGAAGCTGGAGCGGTCCATCCCGCTGCTTGCCCGCACCCTCTCGGCCGTCACCACCCAGTGTCTGCAGCAGAACAACATCCGGGCCCACGCGTGTGTGTTCGTGCTGCAGGGAATCAGCACCAAAGGCCGCCGGCTGATTGGCTTCGAGGAGGCGGCGTTCTCGGCAGAGGGAGGGGCAGGCGGCATTGACCCCCTCAGTCCAAGTGACGGGCCGACCCAGGCGACCACTGCAGGAGCAGCAGCCCTCGGTGGGCGCCACCTGGCCTCGCCGATCATCTTCGACTCGTTCGTGGGCCTCCAGGCCGGCGCCGGCCTCTCGCCCCAGATCTCGGCCTCCGACGGCCCCCCCACGCCCATCGGCGGCGCGCTCCTTCCCCCCCATGGCGTCAGCCGCGCGTCGTTCGGCCGGCAGCCGTCCTCAGTGACCGATGCGGAGAACGCCACACGCGCCACGCTTCACGTGTCGCTGGACTACATGATAGCCATGGTGCTGACCGAGGCCAAGGAGACCCAGGCGGCCGGGACGGTGGGCCGGCCGCCGCAGCCCGCCACGTCCTCGGACATTGTGCGAGTGCCGCTGTCGGTGAACCCGTCGGTGCGCGCCATCACCTCCCCGATCGACCCCCAGAGATTCGACCCCGCCTTTGTCGACTACCCCTCCACCTACCCCCCCTCCTTTGCCCTCGAGGGCGCGGCCCCCTTGCCCATCGGCACGAGTCAGTCGTTCATCGACCAGCCATCGGCCGGGCGCAACCGCGCCATCCACTCGCACAGACGCCTGTGGTCGAGGTCGCACTCCTTCACCAACCTGGACCTCCTCAACCTGCGCCAGCAGCCGTCAGGCGAGGACACGACGGCCGACAGCGACCCATCGGTCACACATCGGTCGATGACCGGCCCCCTGCCGAGCCTCACGGTCGAAGCGCCTGCCCGGCTGCGTGCCGGGCGTGCCGACAGCTTTGAGGCTGTCAAGGAAGAGCTGAGGGGCGAGGGAGGGGAGGGGGTGGGCAGGAGGAAGACACTGCCGCCGACAAGGTGAGCAAACCAACCAACCACACACACACGTAAGTCGCTGTTTGTTCGTTTTGTTTCAGGCCCGGTGATCAAGAGTCCCATTCCCCCGGCCCCACAACCAGGTCCCACCCCAGCTCCTCCCCCCTACTCCCCCGCCCCCCGGCAGCCGACAGGCCAAGAGCAGCATCCACACCCAAGCCGCTGCCTGCCTCTGACAGGATCGGCGAGAGGAAGCCCGGTGTGGGCAGGGAGGTTCACAGCGTCACGCCGACGTTGCTGCGGCGGACGGAGAGGAATAAGCCGCAAGGGGGCGGTGCGGGAGGCGGGGGAAGCGGTTTTTGGGGTGGGTGGTTCGAGTGCTTCACGAATGTGGTGCGGTTTCCCGGAGAGCTGATACTTAAGAACAGGGAGGCAAGCTTCAACAGGTGAGATAGATGAGGGAGGGGAGGAGAGGGGAGGAGAGGGGAGAGATGCTGTGTGGATGAGCGGATGGTTGCAGGATACTGACGTTGACGGTGGTTGTGTCGGTGCTCCTGTTGAACGCCATGACGGCCTTCATCCAGCTGTTCCAAGTCAGTCAGCCCCCCCCACCCCCCACTCACACACACACACACACAAGGAGTCGACTGACTGTGTGGGCCATGTTTGTTTGTCTGTCTGTTCTTCTCACTTAGTATTTTAACTTGTCCCCCACCCTCTTTGCTGCCGTTCTGTTTGTGCCCCCCCTCACCGAAGTCATGTCACTCGTAAGCGGATGATCCCCTCGCGACTCTCGGTCAACACCACCGCACACAGGGCGCACCTTTCTCTCTCTCTCTCTCTCTCTGTGTGTGTGTGTGTGTGTGTCTGTCTGTCTGGGTGTGTGTGTCTGTCTGGTGTGTGTGCAGGCCTTTGGGATTGTGTGGATTCTGTTTTCGGTGGAGGCGTGGGGCCGGACCTTTGTGGCATTTGTTTATCTGTCTTTCTTCAACACGGCCATCGGTCGGTGCGCGGAGCAGACCACAGACAGCCACGCACCGACACATCACATCCACTCACACGACACACGCAGACGAGCAGAAAAAAGCAGACAGAGGAAATAAGACGTACGTGTGTGTGGTGTGGTGTCACGTGCAGGTATGGTGTATCGCTTGGCGGTGAGCCAGCACTTCGTGATAGCGCTCTACATCCTCACCGAGTACGCCCTGGCCTACACTGTCAAAATGGTCCTCTGCCTCGCGAGTAATGAAACACACACACACACACACCACCCCTGCAGAGTCACACCAGCGCATTGACCCCCCCTCTGTCTGTCTGTCTGTATGTGTGTGGCTCCCCTGCTGCAGGCAACATGTATATTGCGCATCTCGAGCTGAAGGACAGTCTGATGGACGACGAGCCGCAGGAGGAGTACGTGCAGCACGTCCTGCAGGTAAGAACCAAGACACACACACACCACACCATGTTTGCTGCCGAAGGTCTATTTCCCCGCGTGTGTGTGCGTGTGTGTTAGGAGGAGGAGGACCGCATGGCGACGAGCGAGTCCCTGTGGCGCCACTCGGGCGAGGAGGACAACGGCGCACCATCTAGCAGAGTTCTCACACCCAGAGGCAGGCACCACACCACACAGGCCGACACCCAACACCCAACACACAGACCATACCATCCACATGACATGTGCCCTCCTTCCCTCCTCATCTCATGGCACATACAGGTGAGTCGTTTGTTTTCCCGACCAGCGAGGATGTCCCCGCCCATCCCGAGTCCTTCAGCAGCCATCCCCACCCCCACTACCACTCCTTCCTCCCCCCATCGTCACACCGCACCAAGACGCCGCAACGGCAGAGGGACAGAGACAGGGACAGGGAGAGGGAGAGGGAGAGGGAGAGGCTGCCGCCCATTATGAGCAGCCAGGCTCAGACGTACCCCTACAACAACGGTATCGCTGCTGCTGCTGCTGCTGCTGCTGCGGCCGGCAACAGCACCAGCACCAGCCTCAGCGGCTACCCATATGGGAGCAGGCAGACGGCGAGGCAATGAATACTATGGGAGAGAGAGATGGGGAGAGATCGAGATTGTGCAGGCCGCCCGGCCGGCCGGCTGGCTGGCTGATGTGCAGAAGTAGACTGACTAGGGAGAGAAGGGAGGCAAGGCACTATGTGCGCATATTCATCTGCAAGTGTGTGGGTGTGGACGGGCGGTACGGTGCGGTGTGGTGTGTACTTTGGTAGTTTGGGCGGGCACATACACATACATCAACACACACATACACACATGGATCTATCAGCTGATGCCATCACATCAGGGACTGCTTTAGTCGCTTGCTTTGGTTGATTGTTGTGTGCAGTCAGAGAGAGAGAGAGAGAGATCAGGCAGGGAGGCAGGCAGGCAGGCAGCGTCGGCTCTCATGGCGGGCATTCTGCGTGACGGCATGGCATGGACACTTGTGTCGTCCATCCGGCATCCGTGCTTGTGGTGGTGAGCAACAGCCTCCACTCGCAATAATGCAGACAGAGCGACACAGGTGTCCATGTCCTGCGCGCCTGCACTGTGCCCCTATTCTGATCACGCCATTGTCTGCAGTTCAGGCCATCCATCCATCCATGGCTGCGTCTCTGCATTCTCGCTCACCCCACTCTCGGCTGGCAGGGTTTTCTGCCGCGCCGGTCGGCTGGCTGGCTGGCCACGCATCCAGCCCCTTCCTTCCGAGCATCCATTCCGTCCATTCTTCCTCCATTTCTTCTTGGCATCCCTTACCTCCCTCGGTGTCTTTCTCGTCGCTTTGTCTGTGTCTGTGTCTGTGTCTGTGTCTGTCTCCTCCCTCCCCATCCCTATCCCTTGTTTGGGTGTCTGTCTGTCTGTCATCGTTTTCATCCCACCATGTATATCGTGTTGTGGATACACTAGTCGATGATGCTATGCTGGAATGCTATGCTGCATGATGCTTTCTTTCTTTCTCCCTCCCTCCCTCCCTCCTGGCCGCTGACTGCCCGACTGACTGACCGACGCTGTCGCTCTTGGTGTGTGTGTGTGTGTGTGTGGTATTGGCACGGATTGCGTGTAGAGAGACGTTCGCGAGGCAGTGGGTGGGGGACACCATCATGGCCTCCCGGCCGGCCAGGTGTGGTATGCATGGCATGAAACAATGTCCGGCTTTCTTGTCTTGTCATGTCATGTCATGTCATGTGTGATGATTAGTTCGTGTGCTGTCGTATGTGATGTCTTGCCTCCCGGGGGTTGGCGCACGGTTGTTTGGTTTGGTTTGTGTGTGTGTAGAGTATTGTGTTGGCACCCATATCATGCACCTCGCCACCCCACCCCCACCACGGATGGCCCGTTTTGCAAGCAGGAGCAGTGTCGCAGTCAGTGTCGGCCGTGCCGTGGGTGTCTGTCGTGCCTATACACACACACACACACACACACACGCCCGGACAGCGGAGGGTTTTGCGCTCGTCTCTCTCGTCTTTCCGTGCCCTCCCTCCCTGCCGCACCCACCGCACTTATGCACACACACACGATGGGAGAGGAAAACACATGGCTGGCATGCAGCAGGATGGGTGCATGCGGTGCGCATGAGAGTGTCGTTTGTTGTCAGATGATTCGTTGATTGATATTGCTATCGCCATTTGTACAGTAGAGTGAGTGGATTGCAGTCGGAGACGGACAGACGGACAGACGGACAGACGGACAGACAGACAGAGAGAGTGACAGACAGACAGGCAGGCGGACATGACACGCAGACAGACAGTCAGATGGATGAGCTATGAGCATGCGTGTCGTGTGCCGTATGTATTTATTTGTGGACTCCCAATTCATAGCGGAACCGACTGACCGACTGACTGACTGACTTCTTGGCTGCCACTAACTGTTCCTAATCGCCGTCCAGCAGGGTTTCTAGGGTCAAGGGTTGCGACCCACCACCGACATCACATCACGAGCGCTGAAAACCGCCTTGAAGTTCTGCAACAGCGACTTAATGCCTGAGCGTACCCGAGGAGGCACCTCTACCAGCTGCCTCGGTTTGTAGTCCTTGTGCACAACGAGAGGAACTGACAGGATCTCTGCAGCTAGCTTGATTTGACGTCAGTAGGGCAGCATGAGCGCCGTCGATGCTGCCCTGGCCGAACTCGGCGCCATGTGGCTCGGCGAGACCGCATTCCAGCAGTAAGCTTAAAAGCTTGGCAGGGTCGCAAGAGAAGGGCACAACATATCCTATAGAGAGCCGTGTGCTGCTTATGCGTGAATTGAATCAGTTGGTTGCGCAAGGAGTCGTGCCCCACTCTAACGGATACGCCGCTCTACGAGAAAATCGCACAGGGCTTTCAGGTACGGCCGCTGCACTCAGAAGGCGACACGAGAACACCGCAGTGATATAGCCTGCGATGCGTGTGCGTGCGGGGTATGGTGGCATCGATGTGGTGGTGTGTGTGTGTGTGTGGTGTGTGTGTGGTGTGTGTGTGTCAGGTGGGTGATGGGTTTGTGGAGGCGATGGACGCCAGTCTGGCCAAGTTCGACCACGCCGAGACTCTCCGCCTGCTACAGCTGTTCCAGAGCGCCGCTGCACAGGTTACCTACCATCCCACATTCGCAGACACAGACACAGACACACGCATAGCCCCGTTTCTTTCTCCATTGTTTTCTGGCGACCAGGTCCCTCCCCCTAACCATGCCGGCCATAAGCGTGAGTCGGTGGTCAACGGCAGCAGCAGCAAGCGACAGAGGACCGGTGGCGGCCGCGGACGACGGTCGGCCAGAGATATAGAGGATGAAGACGAGTACACGCCCGGGCAGCGCTTGGCTGCGTCGGCGGCAAGGGATGAGGGGAGCGGCCGACGGGGGAGGGGGAGGGGCCGGGGCCGGGGCCGGGGCCGGGCGGCCAAGGAGAAAAGCGCTGCTGCTAGTGGTGGCGGTTCTGGTGGTGGGAGGGGTCGTGGCAAGAGTGCCGTGGTCATGAAGGAGTTGGGGCTGGACCCGGCGGCCATCTGTGCGGCGGCGGCTGCTGCGGCACACCAGGCACTGAACCCTCCCAGCACCATGACGCCCAGAGAGGAGGGCAAACACGTGAGCGAGCGAGATAGAGAGAGAGACCGCCCGCACACACACCCAGCCACACACAGAACAGAACAAAACAACATAGATTTTTCTGTGTGTGTGTGTGTGTTGTGTGTATGTGTAGCTCATCGAGTGTTTGAAGGAGTACTGCCCCAAGAAGGCCAACGGCAGGCCGGCCCCCCTGGGCGTGCAGATCGTGCAGGACAAGGGCGTGCGCGTCCAGTTCAACCACGCAGGCGTGGGGGCCGTCTGGGGGCGCATCCGCAACTTTGTGCAGTTCAAGTCGGTCAAAAACGCCTTCAAGCAGGCATGCGAAGACCGCGAGCAGGTGTGTCAGGCACACCCACACACACCCACATGCCCCCCTCTCCCCGCAAAAAACCACTGCGCAGACCAAAGTGAATGTCGGTCGATGTATGCGGTTTGGTTTGGTCGATGGACGGATCAGTTTGTGCGTGACATCTGGGGCCCGAAGGGCGAGGCCGATCAGTTCCACCTCCTGCCCGGCTGGGAGTCGGTCGTCGACGAGTCGGCCCCGTCCACCGCCCTCGCTCCCGAGATCGCCCGGGCGGAGCGAGTGCTCGAAAAGCTCTCGCAGTGCCTCCCGCCCCAGTGCCCTCTCGGCATAGAGGTCGTCAAACGACCGCTGGTCGGCTTCAGGACACGGTGGGTGGGTGTGTGTGTGTGAAGAGCAGCAGAAAGGCGACAGGCCGGTCAGCCAGGCAGTGTAGGTGTGTGTCTGTGTGTGTGTGTGGATGGGCGTGTCGTGTAGGTTTGGCAGCACCGGTGCAGCAGGGCCGCAGGCGGTGTTTGTCAACCAGAACACCACCTTCACCGACGCCCTCAGCAAGGTCATCTTTGACCGCAATAAGTTGGCGAGCATTGCCGGGGTGCCTCTCCTCCAGAACTGCGAGCACATCCTCGTGGATGAGGGCGGCCGCGACAGGGGCGGGGCCGTGGGTCGTGCTGGCGACCATATCGCGCACAGGCACATCCATGGGCACGCCATGGGAATGCCGATAGGGGCGGGAGTGGGTGTGGGTGTGGGTGTGGGGGCCCACCCAGCAGCTGGTGCTGTGCGGCCCTATCAGGCGTCGATGGGGCTGGTCGACGGACCGGGCATCACGCCGCCACCACCAGGTCAGGACCAGGACAAGCCGACAGCCACTTGAAGATGCAGGCAGCCACCTGGGCCGGGCGGCATGTGTGTATGTTGTGGTTGTGTTGTCAGGTGCCGAAGAGGACCTCCACGCCACGATGGCCCCTCCCCCTCTCCCCCCGCAGCAGTCAGCGAGTTCCGATTCCCAGGCGCAGGGCCAGGCACCACCTGCTGCTGCTAGTGCTGGTGGATCTGCAGGCAAGAGTCTGATGCAGCACCTGGTGGTGCTGGGCGCGGTAGGGAGGCAGTAGCCACGGAGAAAGGCGTCGGTCAGGCTGTGGGGGCGTTCATGGCTACGGCGCCGTCCAACGAGGGCGGCGGATGAGTCTGTCCACGGCCACACCACGCACCAGACACCATGTTAGCCATGTCTAGAGAGAGGAGGAGGGGGGTGGTGACTACCTTATCGAGGACAGGTAGCTATAGCTAGCTGTACGGATGACTGACTCAATTCATCGGGGCGGCTTCACACCTCCGTCTGTGTTGTAGAGACACCCTGCTTAAGTTGATTCGTTCTCATTGGGTGTCAATAAATGAACACTATGAATGAATGAATGAATCAATGGAAACGGCACATGACATGCATCAAAGGGTGGCTGGCTGCACATTGTGAACATACACACAAACATGTGGTATGTTTGTGCCGGTGGTGTGGTGTCGGTGGTGCGGATGGAGTCTTGTGGACAGTGGGTGGGTGGGTGTGTGGGTGAGGGCCATGGCATGCTGTGAGGGGTCCGGTCCCTGTGCGCATGTCTGTATGCATTGACATCATCAAGGGGGGTGTCCATCAATCCATCCATCCGGTCCTTCGCACAGGTAGGCACACAGCACCACGGAGGGAGGGAGGGAGGGATGGTACCTCCTGACGATGAAAGACGACAGCCATGCCAACACACCACACCACACCACACCCACGCACAGTCCTCCCATCCCCCTCCCCACACACACTTCAATTGTCATGGAGAAAAAGAGGCTCTCAGCAGCCGAGCAATGAAGGAAACAGAGACAGGCAAAGACGTGGACGGCGGACCGCACGTTAATTAATGCAGCCAGCCAGCCAGCCAGCCATTTGCAGCGATATCTCTGTGTCTCTCTTCCTGTCTCGTTTGGCTGCTTGCTGACTCCCTCCCACCCCCAGACAGAGTAGCTACCGTCCGTCCGATGGCGTCACTCACCTTAGTGACATCGACCGACCGACCGACACCACCCATGCACTGTCAGGCAGGCAGACAGGCAGGCAGGTGTAGATGAATCGGCACACTCCAAACAACCATCCAACCGCCACCTATCCCTCACTTAAGCATGCCCACAGTCGCCCCGCCAGTCCCCACCACACCAGCCCAGCCCAGCCCCCGTACATCTGTCTCTTCAGTGCCACGCCGCCATCTGCTGTGCACTTCTGCCTGCCTCCCTGCCCCTCATTTCGCTCAGCGTGAAGCCATGCAGCGCCCCAAGTCGCCCCCTTGACGGCTGCCTTGTTCAGCAAGTGTGTGGTGTGTGTGATAATGTGTGTGATGTGTGGTGGGCTAGAGGCTCGCTTTGTGTGGTGTATGGTGCCATCCGCCATTTGAGCGGTCGTCTGTGCCACTGCGTGGGGCGCGCAAATGGCTGCACGGTGCTCACTGCTCCTGTTCACTCTGTTGTTGCTCCTCCTTCTCTTGCACTTGCGAGGTCTCAGTCGATTGTGGGTGGCTTGGGGGCAGGCGGATTGGCAGCAGACGGGCGACAGTAGCTTCGAGGGCTGACTTCGACAAGGTCCGGTGCGGGCGGTAGGTAGCGGTGCGGGGCGGAACGACTTGTGGGCTCAGATGATGATCTCGTGCTCGTCGATCTTGGCAGGGCCCGGGCCGATCTTGCAGCTAACGAGCGACTTGATGAGCTTCTGGATGGACACGATGCTAAAGCAGGAGCTGGTTTTGGCCTTGCTGACGGGCACGGCGATGTCGTCGATATCACCCGTGGGCATGTGGGGGGCGTCCGTGCTGATGGATGAGGTGGACGGGTAGGGGCTGCTCTTGGCCATGGGTTTGCCCTCGAGGATGTCCGACAACTCATACGCACCCATCTTGTGCAACTCGGGAACCTGTGAACAAACAAATGGACACCCATGAAGATACCGCCGTTGAGCGTGGATGTGGCGCTTTCATTGTCTTCTGGCTGACGATCTCACCTCCAGGCTGCAAAACACCCGTTTGGGTTCGCAGTGGTAGGGGTCTGACGTCATCTTGGAATCCCTGCGCGGCCAGTATCGGCGGGTGGCCGGGTCGAAGGTGACCTCCATCGGCGTATGCGCGACGGTGACCGAGCCCTCGTAGCAGTCGTCTTCCGTCACGAACGGTGTGTTGCCCTCAGACCTCTGCTCAGCCCAGAAATCATTGGCCATCTGCAGGCAACAACCAAACAAAAGAAAGGATGGATGGTATATATACAATCCATCATGCATCTCATGAATCTAGCCATTTTCCCCATATTCTCGCCTCGCGCAATGCCCACATGCATCCTCTCACATCCCTCTTGCGTTGGGATGCGTAGTCGAGGCTGTTCCAGTGGGAAACACCGCCAACAGGGTCCCGCTTGAAGGGCCACGGCAATGACAAGACTATCATATTATTGACGGCCATGCCGCCCCTCACAGACGACGCGCGGACGAGAGGATTCATCGCAACGGAGAGAAGAACCAAGATATCAACGACGCGGGACAATGGGACGGATGCATCCGAAATTTACGAACGATGAGATACCCCCCCATCCCCCCTCCCCCCGCTGCAATAAGGTTCCTGGTTGATTCCCAATGGGTGCAGGCAAATATGTGAAGGTAGATCTCTTGGATTACACCATGGCGCTGCTCGGTGAGCGATGGGGGGGCAACAACCATGGGGGAACAAACAGAGCGACATGGAAGCGCGGAGACCTTGTCATCTCGATTGTGTGAGCAGGTGTGGCGGTGGTGCTAACGTTCTACGCCGTAAACGGACACGCAAAAGACGAAGAAAAAGAATGAATGGATGGATGGATGTGTGTGTGTGTTGTCCCCTCTCTCCTTTGCTGTGGTGGACTGGGAGTAGCTGCTGATGTACGTTGATTTCTTCCGCCAGGTGTTCCCCGGGCAGAACGTCGAGTACACCTTCTCAACGGTCTACAAGGTGGCCAACTTCGCCACCGGCCTCATAGTGGTGTGCATCGGCAGCTCCATCCCCTACCCCGCCAAGATCGTCCCCGCACTCATCCTGCAGGCGGCCTCGCTGGCGTCGTTCGTCTTTCTAACGTCGGTTGATGCCGTGGCCATCGCCTGTGGGGTCGCCGGCACGGCGCACGCCTTCTCCCACGGCTCGATTGCCGGGCTGTGCGGGGCTTTGCCGGAGAGGTATATGCAGTCGTTTGTGGTGGGGATCGGGGTGAGCGGGCTGGTCGCGTCGATTTCCAAGATGCTCACAAAGATGGCCTTTGCCGACCACCGCACGGCGGCCTACGTCTGGACGGCCGAGCTCTTGTCCTTTTACCTTTTCACGCTGTGCCTCTACGTCTGCCAGGTCGACACGCATCCTGATGTGGTGCGAGTCAAGACGAAAGGGAGAGACGGCTCGACAGCCGACGACCAGCCTCTGATAATCAGCACGCACACGCGGATCGCACCACTTGAAGACGAGAAGCCGGCCTCTGCGCTGATGGCGCCCTTGGTGACGCTGGCACGAGTGTGGCCCTGGCTGATGGTCATGGTGGCGAATTGGCTGATAACGTTCCTCATATTTCCCGGCATCGCGAGCGAGCTGGAGTCGTCTGTGCGGTTCTTTCAATCGTCGGGCTGGTTCCACGTGCTGCTATTTTGGGATTTCCTCCTCTTTGACGTGGTGAGCAGCCAGGCAGCCACACAGACAAAGAGACAGGTGTGCAGAGACACATATCGTCTGTGTCTCTGCCTTCACTGGTGCAGTTGGGTCGATATCTGCCGAAGCTGCCGGGTTTTCGCGGCATATCTCTGGCGAATCTGTGTCTCCTGACGGTAGCGCGGTCAGTCTTCTTCCCGGCATTCCTACTGATAAGGGCTTACGACGGCAACCACTGGGGCTTCGACGCAGGTAGCCATCCATCCATCCACTCCAGCCATCCGTCCACTCACCGCCCCAGCCAAGTCCCCTTCTTTCTTCGTTGCGTCTCCTGTCTGTCTGCCTGCAGGTGCATTTTCGTGCATGCTGTTGATGGCCCTGACGCACGGCTACCCTGTCGCCGTGTGTGCCGTAGAGCCGCTGGCTCACGTGCCGTCACACCAAAAGGAGATGGCTGGGGCCTTCACCTTCTTAGCGTACGTCGGCGGCCAGTCGCTGGGGCTGTCGCTGGCTCTGACACTCAAGTCGCACTCGGTGATATTCTGGCAGCCGACAAGCCCGTTTGTGTGAGTACTTTAAGGCGGCCGGCAGCTCGTTTCTGTACCAATCAATGCATTGAGACACGGAAGGGCATCCACCAACCAAGTTGTTTGAATGCATGCTGCATGCTCTTACATATGCAGAGGCCGTGATCGGCGACCGTGCGGAAGGCCATCCCTGGTCTGCTTGGGTCGTATTTGTCCTTAGGATTGCTGAGTGAACGAGATTTTGTGGAGCCAGCTGGCCACGTTTCTTTGTTGTTCATGATCCATCTGTGTGCACTGAATCATAACGCATCTATCCTTCTGCAGGTACTGTGCGCGTCTTGCATGTCCTCACTCCATCCATCATGTGCGCAGCGCACACAACGCATCATCAATAAAGGCTGCTCGAAGCTTGGCTTGTCCTTCGCGTCACCTCATGTCCGTCGCCCATCCAATGATGCCCAGAATACCACCTGAGTGGGACACACACCGACACACCCATATGCAGGGGAGAGACATCATGATGCGTGTCTCTAGTCTCTGCCTGGCTGCTTGCCTGTGATGACGACCAGTGGTGCCGACAGTTTGTAGGCGTAGATGAGGGCAAAGCCGATCATGCCGATGCACACCGACGTGTGCACAAAGGGCGAGTTGTCCAGCGCCTGACCACCGCCCGTCCACACCCACTCACTCACTCACCATATACATGCCATTCGACTCACTCATTCACTCACTGACCTTGAAGCAAAGGGACGCACAAGCCGCGAAGACCAGCCCGGCGGCCGACGCATTGAGGCCGGGGAGCGCCCGGCGGTAGATGGACGCCTTCCTCAGTTGCTTCCAGAACGGCAGCAGACCGAATATCAGTATCACACCGGGAGAGAACAGACCGAGCCTTCAATCAATCGCATCAATATGGACAGGCCGAGTGACGATCAAAGAGGGAGGATCGGATACCATGGCCGCCCCATCGTACCAGCAGAGGAGTGCGCCAGGGAATTCGCCGACGAGCCACCCAAGGTAAGACGAGAAGTTGAAAAGAGGCCCGGGGAAGGACTGAGATATCGCCAGACCTGCCAGTCACAGGCACACAGAAAGAGACAGACAGACAGACAGACGACCATCCGGATGTGTGCAAGATGGAGGGAGGGAGGGAGAGAGGCATCTTGCTAACCGGCCAGGAATTCCTCCTCGCTGACCCACGAGCGTCCTCCCTCTCGGATGGTGGGCTCTACGACGGTGTCGCACACCGTCTGTGAACACACAGATATGAGACACCATCGATCGTATCGTATATATGCTGTGGTCGATGCGATGTGTCCGTCCGCTTATCGGATGCCCTCCCCACCTTTCCATCGATCGTTGAGCAGGACTCGGAACTCGTGCTCACCTCCCTGTGTGTCCCGGCCACACGACAAAACAAGACAAGACATTGCAGGAAGGCAGGCACTCGTCAGTCCGGCAATCCACTCATTAAGTATCGGTTGACGCGCTCCCTCACTCAAGTATGAGAGGCAGCACGACTTGGCCGCCGCCGAAGATCATCGACCCGGTGCGGTAAAACGACTCAAACCTCACCAGACACACACAGACACACACACACACACACAGAGATACAGATGGATGGATGGATGGGTAGTGGGAATATGAGTGTCATGCTGCAGTGCACACCAGAAGAGTGCTTTGGCGTCTTCGTAGTCGAGCTGGGACCGCCAGACCACCACAATCAGCAGCACCGACAGCCACGCAGCGATCAACGTCCCACCGAGCCACATAGGGATGCCCTGACCCACCTGCAGTGCACAGCGATGACACACACATCCCACATCCAGACAGACAGACACACGCACAGCACATGGCCACAGAATAGAGAGAGAGAGAGAGAGAGAGGGCTCTCTGCGCCCCGTGTGTCGAGGAGGCCTAGTACTTACTGTCGTCTCGTGGTCTTTGTCTTTGAGGGTGAGGTCTGTTTTCATGTAGGTGTGGAAGGCGATGGTGGTGAGGCCGCCGAAGACGATGAGCGTGGGGAAGATGTAGGGCTCGCCGTGGTAATACGACACCACCGCCGACAACACACCCAAAGCCTGCAGGCAGGCATTGCAACATTCGTGCATGAGACATGCACAGCTGCGGTGCTCGTGTCTGTTGTGTGTCTGTGTGTGTGTGTGTTTCTTGGACTGACTACATACGATTGTGACTTTGTCCTTCATGGTCTTCCTGCCCAGCCCCACGGCAGCCGCCCACACGAGAGCTATGCCTGTCGCACTCAGCCCTACACACACACATATCCAATTATATGCGCTTGGTTCTGAATTCGCCGCCAGCCAGCCAGCCAATGCCCCCGCACCTACCTCCATTGAGGCATCGGACGAAGATCGAGGGCCTCTCCAGAATCTCTGCCGCACCAACACCTGTGTGTCACGCATATACACACGCACACACACAGGTACGCAGAAGGGGTGACTGGTGCGTGCGAAAGTGTGTGTGTGTCTCATCCGTCGACCGACCGACCGACCTACCTGCGATGATCTGCAGGAAAAAGCCGGGGAAGAGGAAGAGACATCCAGAGAGAATGCCGCCCAGCAGCCCCTCTTGTGTGGTCCCGAGGGCAAATGCTATCTGCGTCGTCACACATCCATCCATCCATCCGCGCACTGGCCGTCCAGAGAGGCAGAGACACGCAGCCGTGCAGTGCACGAGTCAGTCAGTTGACCACCTGTGTGGAGGTTGGCCCGGGCAGGCACTGTCCGAGGGCGATCATCTCGGTGAAGACCTCCATCGACAGCCAACCACGCCTGCAGACATTGTTTAAACCAAGTGACTGACCACTGCACGCGCCGACGTCGACCAACCAATTGAAACTGACTGACCTCTCCACAAATTCCCTCTCAAACATGCCGAGGTGGGCAATGGGGCCGCCGAAAGCCACAAAGCCCAGCAGCCAAAAGCCGTGCAGAATGCGCATCCAGCCCGACGTGAAGCGCTTCGACGGCGGAGCGCGGGCCGAGGACCGCTGAGACTCCTGCAGAACATCCTTCACGAAGGGGTCATCCGACTCGTCGGGCACTTCCCCCTCTCTCTGGGCATGATCACGTTCATCTCCTTTGTCGCCCTTGCCCTTGCCGATATCGCCTTCATGCACCTCAGTGACACCGGGTCCCTCCTCTCTCTTCTGAATCACGTCGGAGAGCGGGGCGGGGGCGCCGTCCTGCACGGCCTCCAGTTCCGCATCGCGGCTCTCGTGCGATGGCCAGGCTGTGGTCATCACTTCCCACGATGCTGAGACTGCGGGCCTCTTCCGAGTCACCGCCCCCAAGACGCCAGCTCGCGCGAGGGAAGGAGAAAGGGAAAATGTCGTCATCCCACCGCGAGTGTGATGCAGCCGAGTCTTTGCGGCGGAAGGGCAACGAGCAGTTCGATGCGCTCGAGTACGAGGCGGCCATCGCGTGCTTCACCGAAGCCATCCAGATCATCGCCCGGGCCACGGGATCCGTACCCGTCCACTACCACAGCAACCGCTCAGCCGCATATCTCGCCAACGGTCAGCCGCACGAGGCGCTCTCCGACGCCGAGAAATGCATACGGATCAATCCAGGTAGGTACTTAATTGCTTGAGCGCCACAGAAAGACAGTCTGACACACAGACACACAAACCAAACACACACACACACACACACACACACAAACAGACAGACAGACAGACATGCATGCCTGTCGGCAGGTTGGAGCAGAGGCCATCTCCGCCGGGCGCGTGCAATGATGGCCCTCGAGAACTACTCGGAGGCCGAGCGGAGCATATGTGCGTGTCTGGAGCTGGAGCCCAACAACGCCCGGGCGCGGGAGACGCAAAAAGAGCTAGAGGACCGGTGGAAGCGGGAGAATCAGCGCCGGATCGAGGCAGATGAGGAGGCAGAGGCAGCCAGCCGGCTGGGCGAACCACTCGGGGAGGGGGAGGGTGTTGGTGTCGTGTCGGTGGTGAGTGTGGCTGCCGAGTGTCTGGACCGACTGAAGGATGCCTACAGAAGGGTGGTGCCGACCAGTACTAGTGGAGAGGAGGGGGAGGGGGAGAGGGCTCTGTGGCTGCTCACGCTCTATGACAGGCAAGTCAAGTCAGCCAACCAATGGAACCAACAGAGCACCCACCGTGTGCGCATCATATCAGCCTCTCTCTCTCTCTCTCTCTCTCTCTCCCTGTCTGCGCGTGTGTGTCAGCTATCTGCCCGAGAACTATGTCCGTGAGAAGGTGGAGCTGCCCCAGCCACTCCGCCCAAAGGCCCGCCAGGCCCTCGGTCTTATGCACGTCTTCAACGCCGAGTTCACATCTCGCTTCGAAGGCTTCGTGCAGCAGCACACCGACGTGTCGCTGGCCAAAGTGCAGCGGCTGATGGAGAAAGGCTGCAGGCGGCTGATGGGCAGCCGGCCGGACGGGGGGCAGATGGACTGCTGTCCGTGTGCCAACAGTAGTGCGGGGAATGGGTGTACTGAGATGGGCAGGTCTGAGTGCGGGTCGTGTAAGCTCGTCAGGTCAGTGAGGGGGCAGGGCAGGCAGCCATGAGCCAGCAGAGTGGGTGGACCAGATGATGTGTGTGTGTGTGTCTGTGTGTGTCTGGATGGATGGACGCAGGTATTGTTGCAAGGAGTGTCAGGTGAGCCATTGGCCGACGCACAAGAAGCTGTGCAAGGACCCTATGGGCTCGAAGGACTGGCTGCCCAGATCTGTCACCCACCCACACGAGCAATGGCTACCGTAAGTAACCACATATCCATACCCACACCCACACCCACACAGTCTCACAGAGCACTCACTCCCGGCCATCTGGCCGTGTGTGTCTTCCCTTTAATTGTTGCGTACGTTCAGCGTGCCCGACACGCCCAATATCCATGGCCACCAGGTGAACTGGGGCAACCTCCCGGCATACGACCTCCTCAACCTCCCAGACAACGAGCTCAAAGACACCGACGCACCAGCCGCACCAGCCACCATCCCCCCTCTCCACCTCTGCTTCGCGGCGAGCGGAGATCTGCGGCACGTCATTACTACTATTGCCAGGCTGCCAAGAGGTGACGGCTGTGGGCGGCTGGCGGTGCGTGTCCTGGTCAACGACTACATGCCGCTGGTGGTGGTGGGCAACCTGATGATACTGCGGGTGCTGTATACCTATGGGAGGGAGGGCATCGACCTGGCCATCGCACTGTGGTACTCGGCCGCCCTGACGCACGTCCAGGGACACATGGTATGGTGTGGTATGGTGGGTGAGTCGACAGACAGACAGACAGACAGACAGACAGATGGTGGGGGGGAGGGGTGTGCACACACCCGTCATGTCGTCGACGGTGTCTCTTGGTGGGTGTCTGTGTCTGTGTCGGTCAGTTGGAGAAACTCCTGCTTGACACCGACGAGACGGATGGTGAGTGGCCATACATGGCCGAGAGCGACAATCCCACCACCACCGGCAGCAGTGGCAGCAGCAGCAGCAGCAGCCGGCTGCTGACGCGCTTCGAGCCGGGAGAGCCGCGCTCCCTGATACGCGCATGCCTACAAGCCGTCATCAAAATGAGCAGAGACAAACCCGACATCAATGGTGAGGTGGGGGTGCGAATGAGTGAGTGCAGTGGCCGACCGAACAAACGTGTGTGTGTGTGGACGCGGCAGGCGTCTTGAAGCAGCGGCGGGAGTTCATGACTCAGCTTCGTGGGCACGTCGAGTACCAGATGGCCCGCGAGAATCGATACTTCCTCATGCCAGACCCCAGACAGAAGTAACCACACAAACAGACATACACACACACACACACACACAGAGAGAGAGAGAGAGAGAGGACCAGATGACAGCCTCCTCCCTCCCTCCCTCCCTCATTCACACAGGCTGCCTTTGGTCCGGTGGCGCACTGGCGGCCTGCTGCTGCCCATGGGGGCTCCCGAATCGCACTTCTGTCGCGTGAACCCGCTGCAATTTGACCGAGACCATGGGTGCATGATTGTCGAAAACGCCGAGCCGCTGGCGGGATGGGACACACCTGTGAGTCTCACAGTGCGTGAGCAGTGGCAGACGGCCGGCGTCAGTCATTTGATGGGATGTGTGTGATGTGGCTGCTCGGCTCTCTCATCGTCTGTCTCCCTCTGTGTGTGTGGGGGGGGGGGGGGGGGGGGGGGGGGG